GTTTTTACTGATTGCATGGAGAGATGCTAAATCACAGAAATCGCATCGATCCCATTACTAAGTAAATGAAAAACAGACAGGGCTATTTCCTCGAACTAACCCGCAAAAGCCGCGTTTTTTTATTCTGTCCGGCCACACAATTTCCCGCGTTTTATAGCTCGGCAACAATGTTACATTGTTTTCCCAGCTGGATAAGATTTATTACTTTTTTTTTTCCCTTGAAAATGTAGCATTTGTTGCGTTTGGGAAAGTGTAAATTTCTTTGGCTAGAACAGTCGCATGGTTACCCGCGCTTAATATCGCTCGCTTGTTCTCCCGCCGCCCCACGTGCTTGTAAACCTGCGAGCATACTTTAGCGTGTGACTTCACACGCGCTTTGCCCTACTTAAAACTGAGAGCCTGCTCGCAGACTGTTTTCGTGTTTTCCCACGCTTCAAAATATAGAACGGTTGCGTGTTGAACTGCTTTTTATTAGTGACCTCGCACGAATACGATGTCCATGACCCCGTGGTGTTGTTTCCTTGTCAGGACTGAAAAAAAAAACGCCCTTCAATTATCACTAAATCAGCTATTAAATTGTCTCATAGTCACGTATTTCCTCTTCTTATCACGAAACCTGTGTATATTGTACCGCTGCTATTGGCATTCACATAATATTTGGGTCCCAAATAAACACTGTTTGTTTTTTTCCAAAAGAGCCTTTGATCTGAGCTTATTCCAAATACTTCTCTAATCTTTCTCCATTGCTGAGTTAAACAGTAGAGGGCAATTAAACGAGTGTAATAATATTAACGTAAATGCTGTAAAATTGGCAGTCGTAACTCGTCATACAACAGTTGCTATGGAATACTTCGATTCATTGTAAGTGTGGGCACTGAAGCAAAATCGAGTGAAAATGAGGAGGCCCTTGAGTTTTTTTGTATATCGTTACACAAAATTGCAAACAGTACGTTAAGTAAGAGCCAAACTTATTCGAAGCCCGAGCGCTTCAGTACGCAAGTGGTGCCGTGACATTTTTTTCAGGTGACTCGATCTGGTCCGCAGGATATGAGGTTAACAAGAATTAAAAATTTGCGGTGAATACAATCACTTCAGAAAATCACTGAGCTATGTCTTTGCCTCAATTTTCTATTTTTATAATTTCAGTTTTTCTCTTTCCAGAATTACCAATGGCTTCATTTCTCAATTTTTTTTTTCACTCTGCTTAGTAGGTAGTCTAAGAGTACAGGGGTAACTTCATGAAGGGACAATACTTGGGAAAGATAATTACTTACGTAATGGCTGATGATGTCTCGACGTGATAAATTAGGATATTCCCATGTCGTAGTTGAATTAAAAGCCACTTGTTATCTATAAAGCATATATATATAAAGCACTTGCAGTTACCGACTCATCAGTCATCTCTCAAAATTTTGCGGTGTTGCATAGAAGTCAATCAGTACGAAACACCGGAATATTGGCGCGCTCTATTTTTAACAAGGTGGAATTTTTATCTTTGCGTGAATTGGAAGTGAAATGAATTGCACATGCTCTTTGTGTTTCGAATTTTTGTCATTTTATCAGAATGAAGGAGAATTTGTTCAAAAATTCTTGGTTCATGCAACTGCAGGACGCCTGTAGCCCCCCATCTAGTTTCTCTCTTTGGAGAGGTGGTCGAGGAAGAGAATCTGACAAGCTTGTGTTAGTAAAGTGTTTAAGAAATAGGGGGAAAGAGAAGACTGAAGTAAGTGTTTCTGTAAGTGCTTCAGTTTCTCGGAGTTTGTAGTCGGGAGTCATCTCCATATCCGGGTGCCCCAAGCTCTTTGCTACTGAAACGTAACACACACATTAGAAAAAGAGGCCTACTGCATCAATCACACCGGGCTTTTAAACATGTGTTTAAGCTTAGTTGAACACGGTTTAAAAATTGCATCCGTCATAAAAGATTCTCCCTTTAAAAGTCAGTGATTTTTTTTTTTTTGACACAGAGTTCGTTTTGTTAAACTTGGTTTAATAAGGTTTATTTGAACTTGGTGTGCTGATGTTAGTGCTTACTAAGGTCTTACTAAAAACAATGAAATAAAGTAGCAAATAAACGTTACAAAATTAAAGAGTTTTAAATATATTCAGTTAAAAGCTGATGAGAGGATGGTTGACTGCGGACTAAATCGCGAAGTAGCAACATATTTGGGCAGATGGAACTCCACTCGTCTTACATGGTATAATGATGTAAGATATCCGTGATATTTCGCCCAACCTAACAAATGCGTCAAGATTAACACTGGGAGATCAGTGATGTAGAGTTTGAGCATCAACGAAAAAACACAGCTACGTCAGTTTGGTTTAAAGCCGCCCACTTGAAGGCGTGTTTGAAGCCATCCCACGCAGTCTACTCCATTCCTTCCTTGTCTGCACACGTCTGCGGTGGGATGTCTCGCACAAAATCCGCTCCCCCAAAATGTTTTCCGTTTTTAGTCGAAAACTGGTTTCAAAGCGACATGAATGATTTCTACCTTTGAATAGTCAGTCTGTGTGTTCAATAACGAAACTTCATTTTTCGCTGTTTCGTCTCCCGTACGTTTAGACGCCGTCCTTTGCATTGCATTTCCCTGTCATTCTCCTTTACCGATCTAAACCATTTTTGACTCCCTCTCGAATCAATTCCCACCTTAATTTTCATGAACAACTGAACTATTTCTCCTGGCAAGATCCCGGGCAAGATTCAGATCTGTCTCTTAAATCCATTACAAGTTTCCGACCTGAGACTTGGTCAATTTTTGCCCTTAATGACCACATCCTCGTCGGACTCCTAGGCGCTTAATCAGAGAATGAACTTTCAGATACTTTACTTTCACAACGGTTAATCATTGAAAATTTCCTTCAGAGGATCGAATTATTCCGACAAAATATTAGTAATCAGCTGTCAACCCGTGAAGATCGCATTTGTAATAAAGCAGTTGATGAAATGAAAAACTGAGTGGCGACACGTTCTCTGCAACGTTCGTTCTGGGAACTATACTGTTTATACGCGTGGGCGACTGAAGAGATAAGCTCTTATGCGATTACAAGAAAAAGTGGTCATTAAGAAACCTTTTTAGTGTCAAGAGATATAAAGTCGTAGACGGTATGAACGTCGTCACTGAGCTAATCCCAGGGACTATTCTAAATTATAAATCAAGCCGAGGCCAAAATTGTACTGAGAAGACCGACTGAAGCAGTCCCTGGTTTCTTGGTTTCCACATTTCTGTGACAGCTTGTAAAAAATCAAAACTCCTGGGTTTAACTTAAGTGTTTCTAATAAAAGTTGTCTTCTCCCTTGGCGTTAAAATTCGCACTTAAATAGGATCATCATAGATGCGGAAGGTAAAAAGATTACATAAAACAAAGTGGAACATAACCTGACTATCCGATGAATTCTGATTAAGTTGTTTAGAAGCTGATTATTGTAAACTACGTCAAAGAAGCTCTGTAATAGTTATTCTGGACTAGACAATAATCCCGACAAAATGATGAAGTGATACATCGAGTAGTTTAAAGTTCTTGCCAGTTAGTCTGAAGAACCATGTTGTTGTCTGATTGCCCTGACTCCCTTGAGTAAAAGCCGGAAAAAGCGTAAGAATACGTAAAATATCTCTTTAGTTTTAGGCTCACTTGTAAACAAATTTCGAAAGGCTTTTCGTTCTGTTCTCAAGATCTAGGAATAATAAAACTCATTTCGTGTTAATAGGCGAGGCGTCTTTCATCCACAGCCCACTTCTTTATTCCAACACCGCCTTTAATTATTTCGAGTTTCGTTGTGCGGCCCTCGTCTTTTATTCTTTCATTTCCTTTGGTTTCACTGAATACGTGCAGTTTCTACTGTTTGCCCTGCGTGTTACAACTCAGGTGTAAACTGCGCGCCAGAAAAAAACGGAAACTTGTTTAAATGACGCCATTTCAGTCTAAAGTACGGCGAAACAACACTTTGCTTTGTGTATTTTTAGTACTATCAAAGTTTCTAATGACATTTTTCCCGCCAGGTAATTACAGTAAATAGTTTCCGCCAGAGCAAGCGTTAAATCTAATCTCATGGCCTTATTATCAAAGGAAAAGACAAAACAAACAATAAAACATCGGTGGACGCTGGACAAACGCATGTCTTTGATGTTCACTCGTCTTTGTTCCGTCTTTGGCGTTCAATAGCCAAAAATGAGCAAAAATCAAGGCTTACGTTCAATGGCTAAAATCAAGTGTATAAGTCTCAATTGAGTCGGTGAAGTTTGATCTCTCTAGTGATTCTCAAGTTAGTTAGAAATTTAAATATCTCTTTAATGGCTTTGACACGATCATTAGGTGAATTGGGACACCATTTAACAATTCTAAGAAGAAAACTAATTACTCAAAGCGCTCCGCTAACAATTCACAAGGGATAAGAGAATAGATGGCGGCAAACAAAATAAAACTTAACAATTCAGCGCGACTAAGCGAAAAAGAAAATAAATCACTTATAAACACGTTTCAACAGGGCGCAAGAAAAATAGTTTCACTCGCGTGCTTTCGAGATCTCTTCAAAACACCAAAAAGTCTAGAAGCCAAGTTGTGTGTAAACGAAATAATCGTGAGGCAAACATAGCTGTGTTGACATTAAACAACCTAAGTGGTTTATATATACAAACAAACTGATCAAAAACCTCTATTGTCCAAAGTTAGCTTCGCGATAATGAAAAAGACCTCATTCAATATCAATTACACACATTTCTTTTAACATACTTAAGATCATTTTATCGAGCTCTTTCCCTAATAAGGACATAAAAGTGCTGCAATATTCTATAAAACATTGTCTGAGGGATATTTCAACGATATAAGGTGAAGATTTATGGTTCGTGCACAGCCGAATTAGGTTCGCACATGAATATTAAATGGCACTTAAGGTTTGTCGAGGGCATAGAGGACCGCCCCCCAATTCAACTTTAGTTTTGAATGAGTAAGCCAATCAAATGTCTCTTCAGTTACGTAGAAACGGTTGTCTATTCTATTGTGAAGTAATTTTAATACCCAATGCATTCCAAGGGACTGAGCGAATGATATATTTCGGCAATTTATCACTTACGACATTTATCAATAGTCCGTGTTGGCTATCAACCACACAGGGTCATCAAGTGCGGATTGAGAACAAGTTCCCCTGCAAAACTTACCCAATATGCGAGTTTCTACTGTTTGGTTTTTTATATTCGTCCTGTTTACATTTCCAGTCCTTTCATCTTCTCACTGGTGGTAAGTTAAATTCAGTCTTCCGATCTAAGAGGATTACACCAATCACAAGTTTATACTCCAGATTAGCGGCGAGAATTGCTCGATTTCTGCTCACTTTGGTTTCAGGTCAGAAATTTGGCATTTTAATTGCTCGTTTATTTCGTTAGGTTCATGTCTCAAGTATACGCATTGGGGGCGAAAATAATGTGTAACAACATCGCCGGCCTGGTCACCTACCAACGCCAACTTTGTCGAGAAAACCCCGATGTGATGGTTAGCATCGGAAAGGGGGCCAAACTTGGCGTGGAAGAGTGTCAGCAACAGTTTAAAGATCAGAGATGGAATTGTTCAACAGTAGCTCGAGACGTCAGCGTTTTTGGAAAAGTTATGCGAAAAGGTAAAAGATAATATCGTTGAAGGGAAGTGCTCGGTTTAAACTACTTCTTAAGAGTCAGAGTAGTTAAGATAGTAACTCCAAATCGTAGTTCTTGGTGGAGAGGTGTAATTTTAGCAGCGTACAGGTTGTCAATTTGGTGAAAACTGTTATCTTATCCCTTTATTTTGTGCTATGATTTAAAATAAAAAACTGACAAAATAATGGCATCCACGAAACTCAATACCTTCACATGAGGTCCGTTCAAGGATCCTTGAAAAAAATTTCCTTACTCTCAAGTGTCCTCATGTAGTACTCTCTCAGGCGTTTGATTTATTCACAAGATCTTTCTAGACAAAGAGTAGTTGAAAACGAAAACGATTCTTTTTGCTTGAGTGGTTTTTGTGAAGCTGTACTTTTTTTCTTGTCTTCACAGCAAGTAGAGAAAGCGCCTTCGTATACGCCATATCTTCTGCGGGGGTTGTACACGAGGTCACAAAGGCGTGCAGCCGCGGAGAACTGATAGGCTGTACTTGCGATACCAAACGTAAAGGAAGAAGTCACAAAGGTTTTGAGTGGGGAGGTTGCAGCGACAACATAGGTTATGGTCTTAGATTTGCCAAACTATTTGTCGATTCGCGAGAACAGGAGCGGGACGCCAGAGCAAAAATGAACCTTCATAACAACTTTGTGGGGCGAAGAGTAAGTATTAAACATTTATTCATTACGTGAATTTTCCGGGTTTTGCGAAGTCGCATCATTTTTATCGATAAATTAAATTTGTATCGACAAATTCATTTATAACTAAATTCGTGCGTTGACGGGTTTGTTATTGCTCATCGTGGATTAATTTTGGCTCAGTTTCAGTAATTATTATGGATGTTTTAAATTCATCCATTTCCCTGGAGTGTTTTTTACAAACAATACACCAGGATAAACATTTGTCTTGAAAGCTAATCTCGTACTTCCCTAATATGGCTGTAAAAACTGAAATATAAGTGTTAATTTTCATAAGTATGTCCTTAAAAGTAAAAGAAATTGAAAAAGAGAGATAAAAGGATATGAAGAAGTGTAAAAGTTAAAAAAACTCCGTTTGTAGTATTTCTTCTGTCATACCCTTATTTTGTCGAATTTTCTAATCCCGAATCACACGACTCAACTTCAATGAAGTTTGTTTAGATAAACATCAAGAAAACAGGAAGAGCGTGGATTTTTGTTGACTCGGTAGTATTTTTTTAACCGATATGGCGCCTTTTCTGTTGAATCTATTTCCTGACTGTGGTATTTCAGAGGTCGTAGAATGTTCGATATGCTTGAAAAAACAGAAAATGTGAAGAAATTTTCGACCAATTTAAACTCGTACTTAGAGGTGAAGAAAAGTCCCTCAAACTAATAAATTTTGCCAGTCTAAGTATAGCTTCATAGTCTTTGAAGATTGTACTGGAACTTGCAATTTCAACCATAGCTGTAGTACAAACTTCTTTTCCCGCCTTTGCTTCGCATTTTTGTTTCTTGGAAAAGGAAAAGGAAAGCGACTTCTTCTTTTGCTAAAAAAAAGTCATTTTACTTCCAAGAAACAGCCCAATAAAACCGTTGAAAACACGCCTGTTTCTCCGGCAACAGTCCACGAATTACGAAAATGTTGCAAGTTTGTCGGCATTTTGTGTTTTTCTTAATTACCAAACTCGAACCCGGACTGATATCGTGGAAAAAGTCAAGAGAATGACCATTTTAAGAGGCTGAGATATAGGATGCAAAGATTTCGTTCTTAAAAACATATCCAAGGCCATTGCAATAACGCGCTCGCGCTGCAACATTACTTAATTGTACCTAGATTGGCTTATCAAACTTACGTCAAGTAGCACTTCATTATAACTGTACTACTCAGTTCATGAAAAAATTGGAGTTTTTAAATCGCGTAGGCATTTTTTACGCCTACTTTTACGAAGAAACATCTGTAGCAAATATCGTGCAGTGGAGTAGCGTGAATAGGTATTAGACTGGAGTGTTGATGCAGTTTAATTCTCGAGAGTGGTTTTGTTCGAGTTTCCTGTTAATTGAGAAGAGGAAATTTTCGAAACGTTGAATTGACCGCAGGCAATTTCCCAACAAAACTTATCAGATATTGAAAGAAAAGTTTGAGCTTTAAGGCAAATGCCTTCACGTTTCTTCTGTCGCTGGTTTCAATCTGGGTAATTATGTTGAGTTGCAAGAAGTTCATGGCTAGCATCCGCGAACCTCTACTAGAAAGTTTCTTCTTTTGGAGAACAAACCGGTATGGGAGCATTTGGAAAAAATTTTCGTAAATCCTGTCAAGTCATGCTTGTATTAGCTGTTATGTATTATTTGCCCGACGGTCTCGCAAGTCCATAACATGAATAAGATACTCCTTACAAATATTGACTGTCTTCTGTAATAAAATATAAAGTGATTTAGAAACTACTGCGTCAGTTCTAATTAATTGAATTTCCCGTCGCTACTGATACTGCATGAGATTCAACTCTTTGCTGTTGAGATCACTCGGGTCTTTACAACAACGATAAAAATATAAAGGACTTCATTTAATGCTCTGTTTATGAATCTTTTGCATGTTAGATTTTAAATCATTCGAAACGGTCGTTTTACTTAACTCTTTTATATCTTCTTTTTGTCGACTTTCTTTAACTAATCCGAGAAAAAAAGGCTTAGCTTGTTGACATAGTTTTCTTTTCCTCTAACCAATAAAGGTAATAAAGTTAAACAATGTAAAGTTATTTGGCACGTTCTCAGCAAAGAGAAGTAGGATTTTGTGGTTTTGCTTAGTTTCCTCAAGACTTGTTATTACATCAAACTCATAGTACAAAATTCTACAAATAGCAATTTAATGCCATTAACTCAAACAAGATAAACTCAGCTCTATCCTCTGTTGTTCTAACTACTATATGTTTACCTTCAAAAAGAAAAACAAACAAAATATGTGAAGTAGTTAATTTAAATCTCACGTTACGATGCACATGTATCGCGTGCAATGTGCCCATGAAAAGCCTACAACACGAACATTTGTTAGTAACCCATTTTGCCCTTTGTGGCTGCATGAGTCAAGTCTCTCTAAAACTAGTTGTAAATGGTTGAGGGCACTTGAAAATCACTGAAAAAAAAACGCTTTTCATACTTTATTGCGGCTCGGAGAAAAAAATTCTAACGAAACTAAGCCGATTCCAGCTCCTCCCATCTCTTGCCCGTTCAAAGTTGTCATGGCAAATGTTGAATACGATCTTTGAATCCAAAGACGTCCTATGGTACAACATTATTAGATCGGTTTTCGTGACACCCGGAATAATGAAGGTGTTTTCCTCAGCCTTCAGTCTTTGTGCTGATAACACTTACCTCAAGAGCTACTCTTCTCTTCTACCGAGAAACTTGAACTTCCGCCCATCACAAAAACTGAATCGAACAATTGTTTCATTTAGTAAATGATTTGAACCCAAATAGGTAGAATATGATCGTAAGTTTAAGCGTTGTCTGGAATAGAACTGTTATTGATACTGACTGACGTTTCTACAACCTTTGCGGTAGTCAAGTTGATGGTGATTATGAGATGATTCGTCAATAAGTCGCCATACATTGGTCCTTTGTTAGTTAAGTTTAGTTCACTCGTGAATAAACAGCTGGCCGCCGCGCCTGGAAACGAGGTTGATCGGTTGCCATGCAACCTGGTTTCCAAATTAATATACCATCGACCAAACTCGTTTCCAAGTCAATATACCAATTCGATGGTATCTTCCAAATTCGCATCTTCCAAATTTGGTCAACGCCAGTTGATTATGAAGAACTAGCTATGGGCTTTGAGCCAATCAGAAACGGTGAAATATTTTGAATGTATAATAATGTATAATAGTTCTAATGATCTTCGAGTGCCCCTTATTTGATTTCATGTTAAAAGGAATAACTCTTCCGACCTATGTTGTCCAAGATTGGCGATATCTCTACTGTTTGGGACAGCTGCACACATCTCACGAGCGCATGCGCATACTTGGTTAGGCATAAGTCGTATCTCTCAGCAACAAAGCTTGTCACTAAAGCGTGAATCACTCACCTCAAAAGGGTTTCCTCAAGTTATTTGAATCTCCGTACGATGTAAATAGTTTTAGGGGAGGATAATACAAATAGTCCATTTTCGAGTTCGCTGTGACCGCTGATTTAAAGAGGTGAAGACGCATTTTTTTACAGCCTTAGCCTCCATCTGAAGTAATATATTCACAAATTCCAACGAGAAAAAGACCTGTTTATTACTCTGTCTATTGTGTATATTCAAATTTCAAACACTTACTTGCCAGAATTTCTGAATATTTTACTTCACCTCGAGGCTAATCCTGTATGAATGTGTCGTTAATGTTTGTATTCAGCGGTAATTTTTAATTCGAGACTAGACTATTAACAGCCTATTTGTTGTTTCTTTTGCAGGCAGTAAAGAAACACACAGAATTGGATTGCAAATGCCATGGCGTCTCCGGCTCGTGCCAAGTGAAAACATGCTGGAAAGTCATGTCCCAGTTCGGTGTTGTGGGTGCTTTTCTCCGTGAGAGATACCACAGTGGTATACAAGTTACCGTAGATCAGAGCGGCAACGAACTTGTAAAAATAAAGGCAGATGGATCTCCAGCTCATCCTCCACGTGATAATCTCGTATTCTTAGAAGAGTCCCCGGATTACTGTGTCCCTAATACCAACACAGGCTCTTTGGGTACTACGGGACGGGTTTGTAACAAGAGCACTCCGGGACACGGCAGTTGCGGGATTCTGTGCTGCGGGCGCGGTTTTGACACCATTCAGGTTGAAGAGGTGTATAAATGTTCGTGCAAATTCAATTGGTGTTGTTATGTTAAGTGCCATACGTGCAGACGGACTGTTGATAAGCATGTATGTAAATCTCCTGACGATAATATGTACAATGGAAACGGACCACATTTAACAGCATCTGTGACGAACGCGCAAAGCAATAGTCAAAACAGACCCGCTAAGAAACTTCTCGGTGATAAACGGAACAAGAGAAGAAAGGAACGAAAAAACAGGAAGCGAGGTGCGTCTAGCCTGTCTACTAACAGTCTCAGCAGAGGCGACAGAGAAAACAAGAAACTCTAATGTACGGAATAAGGAACAGAAACATTACTGTTACCAGGAGAAAACATTGCAAATGCATGACGTGAATTTGTGCAGTGAAATTCCCACGAAGCGAACACCTAAAGGCTATGAAAATTTGCCTTATCACTGAACGAGGTTTCCAGCTGCCAAAATCATTGAGTGTTTTAACTGGACAGTGCCGCCCGACAGGTGAAAGGAGGACTCCACTGTATATGGGATGACTCCAATCAGAAATCGGAGTCGGAAGAATCAGAACGTTTCCATTTTCTTCCGACTCCGCTTACGACTCCGTCGTTTACGATCTAGAGAAAACCAGATTGTCGGAGACGGTCAAGCAGAAGGGGAAGTATAAACCAATCACGAGGCTGGTTTCCTTCTTGATTGGCTTAAATCTTCCGCTTCTTCTCGTGACTCCGACAGCCTAGTTTTCACAGTTGATCGTAAGCGACGGAGTCGTTAGCGGAATCAGAACGCTGTTTTCACCTGATCTTTAAGTCCTACGCTTCTGACTTCGACTCCGATTCCGACTCTGTCTTTAGTGAAAACCAGCTTTAAGGTGTGCTCTACCAAGGGCTTTTTCCAGTTGTCAGAGCTGACCGACTAGACCAGTCCAGTCGTAAAGAGAATTCTATTATTACCCAGGACTATCCGGCCAGATCAGTCTATTTTCCAAATATTTTGTATGGTAGTGATAGGTTCTAGCGGAAAAACTAACCGAGAAAATACCAATATTTCATTAGCTATTTGACCCGTCCCGCAAACCAATTGTGACTTTTGGTTTGCGCCTTCTTTAAGGCTTTTTCTGTTTGCCTCTATCGGCAAAAAATTAAAAGATAATAATGGTCAAAAATGTTTAGCGAGAGGAATAATCTTGAATGCTGTTACTAAAGCATGAAATAACCAAACAATCTAAATTCGAGCTTTTTTAAAAGTGGACAGAACTCAGTTTTACATAAAAATAGTCAGAATATATATTCAAAAATGCTGATGTGAAATTCAGCCGGCAGAAAGCTTTAGACAGTGGCACACTAAATTGCTTCGCTGATCAAGCTAACAGGACAATATTTACATGTTACTAAATCGTTCTTAACATATATTTTTGCTCTGCGCAAAGCCTCAAAGAGCGCCCGCGCTTTTAGTTCAGAAAAGCTAAAGAAATTCAAATTGGATGATCGTTTGTACCTTCAGTTTTAAGAAGATGTTCGATATAATAATCCATATATCAGGCCTTGAAATGTTTTTGCGGCTGGCGCCGGTCAAGTTCTCCGGTCAAACCTATTTTTGCTCGGACAGAACCCGGTTTTTGGCCAGACAATTACAAATATTTATTACGACATATCTTTATAAAACTAAATTTTCGGTCCATTAGAAGCGTAAAGGACCGGAAAAAACTAACTTTTGACCGGACATTGTCCGTTGACCGGCCGTTAGTTCAATCCCTGATATGTTACTCTGAGCTCAAAGTTCGAGTATCCTGGATCGAAAACATTGGCATTTAATATATTAACTGACAAAAACATCTCATAATACACGACTGAAATGTTTATTTCATTTCACTTTAATATTTATCCAGGTGAATTGTTATTTATGTAAATATTTAAAGTAGGTAAGAGGACAAGGACAAAAATTATAAACAGAAAATATTTGTTGGCACAAGGTTTGTTGACGCGCACGTGTTTTCAGGTATATAAATGTTGATATCGGACTTTGTTGAAATAAAATATACATTGCTAAGACACATCATGGTCCTTTTTGCGTCGCATTTAGCCTGCGTGGAATGGCGGTTTTGTCTGGCGTACCGCTAAGCGGCGAAACCGCGAAAGCGCGCGCGGTCCCACTCTAATCTCCTTACGGTTTCACTGCCTTAGTTTGTTTGTGCGCATGACTAAAACAAACCGCCATGCTACGCAGGCTAGATGAACATTGCACAATATACTCTTCCATTTTGATTGCCTGCCTCCTTCATACCGTACTAAGCGGCCGTGTTTAGCCAACTTGGAGTGCCATACGCATTCAATCCTTTCGCAGTATTTCACACTACGCCACAAGGCGCCCACACAATCCGTTTGTGTAACCGAACATTGTAATTTAACAGTAAATGTACTGGATTAACCCTTTACTTCGTCTGTGGTGATATACCGTTACTTATGTGCACCAAACAATGCTAAGTAAACGTTGCATTACCTAACCTATGGTAAGTTGGCGCTCCCTTTTGCCTCAGAAGCGGTATTTTGAACTATTTTGAAGGATTTTGAGGGTTGGCCTTGGTGTAAGAACCTGCGAACTTTTTCTTTGTTTCGCACCTTCTGTTTTTCGAGGTTCTATTGAGTTTACTTCTTTGTCTCACATCACCCGTGAGTTTAACAGGTTCTTACACCAAGGATGAGCCGATTTTTTCTACTATAAAGAGGCGCAGTAAAGGGCGAACTCAAAATTTCTTCAAAATTGTTCAAAATACCACTTTTGAGGCGAAAGGACGACAATTTATGGTTATACACTGCTTATGATTGATCCTTTCACATATTTAGCGATATATCCATAAAGATGAAGCAAACAGTTAATGCAGTACAAATGCTATAAAGCTACAATCAGTTAACATGTGACTAAACTTGCACGCGCATGACAAATGTTGATCGCTTCCGACCACTCTTGACAGCTCGGGCAGGAAATAGTGTGCGCCTCTAACGGATCGGCCACTTATGTGAAATTCTCTAACCCAATGCTTTGTGGAGGACTGAACACTCGACGACTTCCTCCTCTGCTCTCATTCTGGACATGGATGAGGTTTCGAATCGCGACAAAGTTTGAAAGAACGCAAATTCACTATACTAGTGACCTTTTCGTTGCCGTCTCCCTTGTCGTCGTCAAAACTCCCCCCAAAAATGATAGATAACGTGAACATGTGTGACGTCTTTTAATACACCTTTTTACATCCCCAAAACTAAATGAAAGTTGCATTTAAGCGAGGTTGATAGCTCTTGAACAAAGCTAAATGTCGGACTTTGCGGAAGAAATGGTGAAGAAAAATTGCTGAAGAAACATTGTTCACAAACGATGGTCACAAACAAACTGAAAACAGAGTTGAACTATCATTTATAATTTCCACTCCAGTTATTATAGTCTCCAGCTGCACTTTATTTATGACCAACAGGGCCCAGTTATTCAAAGGCCGATTAGCGCTTAACTTGGGGTTAAATATAACCCTGGTTTCTTTTTCTTCTGCTCAAAAGCATTTTCTCGGATAACTTTCTCTGTTATTTTTAGAGCTTCCAATCATCAACCTGCAGACAAAAAGAATTAAAACTGAAATGCTTTTTAAGCTTTCAAATGTGAATTCAAATCTCGCACTAAGCCTGGGTTATCTTAACCCAACTTTGAACAACTCGACCCAGGTTTATTTTCTTTATAATTTGCTTCACTGGAGTACCTTTAAATTTGTCCGTATCTCTATCGCAGGTAGGCTTTGGTAGATTGTGCTCGAAAAAAAAAGCATATTATGCTTTTAGCAGTGCTCATATTTTTTAGAAATTATGCCAAAATTATGCTACTTTCTGAAAATTATGCCCTCTGTCACCGAAATTATGCTACTTAGATTTTACACTGATTTTAAGGAAAATAAAGATCATCAGTAGCTTAACTCTATCATTTTTGACTTTAATGAACATTCATATAGTCCACCTTCCAGTCCAGTCTTACAGTCTAGATCTTTAGCGTGGCAAATACGCATGTGCACACATGATCTCGCTTTTTTGTCACTTTTAACTTCTCTTTGCCTGCGGCATGTTTTGGAAGCCAAGTGGTTTTTGATAATGCTCTTTTAGAGCTCAATATCTCCTTACACCCATTGCAAAACAGTTTTCCACCTCGAAGACACAAATTTTCCCTTGGGAATTCTTCGATTCGATCACGAGGACTCATGTCATGTCATGTTCTTTGGATCTGAGTTACCTCTTTCCTTGTACTTTCCGGTATTAATTTTAGGAACACGTTCTCTAGAGATTAAAGCTCTCGGTACGGCACTGGAGGTGCTGGAAGTGGATGTACTCGAGGACGACGCCATCTGAGGGGCCGAGCCGCCGAGCCATAAGCGTGGTGGCCTGAGTCTCAGCCTTATGCACAGGGTGACCTCTGCCGCCTGCCGGACCATATTTGACCATGGGCCTTAGCACAGACCTCAATATTTTCCAAAACCAATACAGAAATAAAATACAGACTGAATTATTCTAGAGCTACGATGGTTTTTTTGTTTTCAAAGCATAAAAGCTCGGATTATGCTAGCAGTGCTAAACTGAAATAAAAGCTTAAAATAATGCTTGTTTTGCTGAATTATGCTTAAAATTATGCTAGCACAATCTACCAAAGCCTAATCGTCTAAGGGCTATTAGGCCTCACTTGCATGCAACTTCCGTCGTATTCAGTCAGCCCTCAACTTTGGCAAATAGATAGCTTTTTTTCGTGGTTTTGTTCAGTAATTTGGTAAGCCTTGAACAGCAAAAAAAATTTAAATAAATGAATAAAAAATGCGACACAAACGTCACCACGTTCTGACGTCTGGTGTGGGACTGAACCGTGGACTCCTACCATTTTAAAAATCAAATCTGTTCATAACCAGAAAAGAATCTTACCTTGTAACGCTCTTCTGTCATAAGAGGTTTTCTTTTTTCTAATTTAATTTCGGTAATTTCGATGACAAAGATATTATTATCATTTTTCAGTAAATGTCATGCGTTTTATACTTGAGCCTCTGGCTCGGATGATCGGGGCAGCCCCATCCCACGTATTGACGTAATAAATTGACTGATTGATTGATTGTTTTTGTTGTAATCGACTCTGGCTTTTTCCTTTGTTATCTACAGCGTCTGTTAAGGTATTTTTCAGTACCCTTAGTTCTGTTTTAACCCTATAAACCCTAATATCAAAATTGAAATTCTCATTTGTTGTCCCTATACTTTTTCAATATAAGTAGTGGGGATTTTAATTGAAGTATCAATTAGACTCATCTTCCCTGATCATGTACTCAATTCTCATGACCACCCTGCTTTCTAAAGCATTGTTATTATAAGGAGGAATTTCATGCTGATCACTTTTTGGGCTTAAAGGGTTAATGTTGCCCTTAGCAGAGGAAAATAAATACCACGAGGTCATCTGTTCAGTTTGACAGACAAAATAAGGTCAGCAACGAACCCTTTTTTTTAAAACAAATTGGGAATATTAGTGAATAAACAAATTTAGATTGTTTATATATACTGAATTTTTACATTTTAATATTTATATGATATGTCTTTTTAATGTTGTTGCTTAGCATCTTAGAAAAGTGTTTCTTAGTTTACATTTGTATTTTTTCCCCGGCACAAGGAAAATGAGCTGTTCGACGAACGCTAGAACTGTAAAACGTTCAGTAAATCCCGAGTTTAAATAAAGTGTTCTGTTCTGCTCTGTGTGTCTTCAAATGAGGCGAATGCATATAACGTCAGGTTTGTACATGACGTCACGGTTTCCATGTTAGTGTATCCAAACAATCTAAACTATCTGCATAATAACAGAGGTTATTTTCGCTTCATTTTGGGTAAAAATGGCATAACCCCCATGGCTTTATGTGGTTACACACTGCTGTGCCCGTAGGCATCTCCCATGACCTCGGCACAAATCCGCAGCTATTTAAGAAAAATTGGAGACGAAAAATTGTTGAAGAAAACAGTTGAATCAGATAAGACAAAACTTTCAATATCTCAACTGTTTGGTTGCATTTCGACGTTGAAAAAAAACAGCAGCTGGGCTTCAAAGTGAACTAGAATTTGAGCAGGCGAGCTTGGGCCTCCAGGCAGTATTCCATTCTTTGACAGCCTCGTTTCTGAGAATCAGTCTAAAAGCACATGAACTAAAGAAACTAAAGGATAACTGACGAAAGTTTTGGTGAAAATCGCAGATCTATTGAGGGGCTTAGCAAGAAGTTTTGCAGAGGCACGCAGAGTTTTGCAAATCCACCCTAACCCGCCTCCCAGATCGTTTCCACTCGGGTGACTGGATTAAATTTTCTTTTTTATTCGTATCATGAGATAACCACTCATCATTTCCTTTGCTTTGTCTTGCTTTTATTAATCTTCAACATTTATTGTTTCAAATACGCAAATGCGTCTCTGCGTACAGGTAGTTACGCCCCCACAGTACCCTAACCTACGTCAAGCTACTCCAGTCAGCCTATCCAGTCCCTGTTAATAACTGCTTCTCACTAGCTGGCATAAGCGCAAGCGAAAGGCCGGGGTACCTTTTTCAGGCTTTATGTGTATGAAAGGGTAGAGAATTTCACTTGTAAAGGATAGAGAAATCTATCATTCCAGTCCGTAAAAAGGACGAACAGGTTCCTTTCATGACTGTGAAAAAGTCGAGTAAACGTTCTGGCCCCAATTGTTCAAACGCGGATAGCGCTATCCACCGGAAAAATCAGTTTCCTTTGGATAAGGCAATTAGTTCTCCTAATGCTTATGCATTGGGTAGCGATTTATCCGGAGGATAGCGCTATCCAACTTTTGAACAACTGCGGCCTGGTCTTGTGATCTATTCATTTTTGAAAGACGGTGTATTTACAGCAGTTAAAAGGGATGCAAAGTTCTAAACTAAGTTTTTTTTTTTGTTTTTCAGGCGCCCCCAGCCACGAACTCGGTAGTGCAATGGTCAGTGCAATGGCCGAACGACATCACGATACTTAACAGAGCCGGAGTGCAATGGCTCTGCCAAGCGACGCCTGAAGGAGGGTACACCAGTACGCCAAAATCGCCCAGGAAACGAAAGGAGTGCCATTTGTCAATGGAAGGTACATGAAAGCGGTGCTTTCTCTGTCAAATATGGTATATAAAAGGGTTAGGGGCTGGACCTCGGGGCTGAGCCTCCCTATATGAAACTTTGTTGAGTACCCCCCTGTCCTGTCCAAATTTTAACCTCGAAACGACCTAGAAACAAACATAAGCACAGGCGCAAATAATAGCACAAGTATCAAAACGTTTTTTAACATGTCTGCGTATGCGTTGCTCAAAATCCACCTTGTCTTGTGTCAACCAATCAGGGCCGAGTTTTTCGAAGCAAGGTGAACCCTCATCACGGGTTAACTGTAAACGAAGCAAAAAAGTTGTCATAGAAACTAACCCTGGATTTGGGCTAATCGTCATTCGAGCAACTTTGACCAGATGTTTTTGGCCGATGAATTTTTTTCCCTTCTTTTTGGCTTTTCTGTTAGGATCAGAGTCTGCTGTCGATTTTATGTTCTCCTACAACGGGTATTTTTGAGCTGCCGTATAACAGTAGTTTTGTAGTGCATATGTTTACACAAAACAGAGAGGCCTCACTGAAAACCGCCTCTTGGCTAATTGGGTTCTCTCATAAAATATTATTAATAGTTCTATTTTTATAACAGGCATTAAGCGAAAATATTTTTGTGGGCGTTAATTTTTAGCACTTAATGGCTTTCTAATAATTGTTTTATAAAAGGACAATATAAAGTGTCGGTTGGAAAGCTTACAAACAACAAAAGGGCCTGAGGCGAAAATACATTTGTAAACCAAACGTCCTGATAATGCAAAACTTTTGAGTGTTTAGGAATCCCCTCCCATGGTTTAATTAAACAGGTAGTTTTCTTGAAAGACTGAACTCTTCTTTCTATATATACTGTTTCTAAGCTATCGTCTCTGAAGTGAGGTTTGTTTAAATAAACTGGACAACAAGCGTTTCCTTCAACGGGTTAGTTAAGAGATCGGATAAGAATTTACTTCTTACGATGATGTTACATTGTTGTCATTTTCAAGTACAATGATATTACTTGCGTAATATGGCCAACGGCGCAAGAATGTTCTTCAACAGAAAAATCCATTGTGTTGCGATCAAATAGTTTTGAGCGGAAAAAATTTTATATTAGGTGTGTCTGCGCGTAAGGCACAGCAAGAACATGGGAAACTTGACCTGGTTTTTCGCTGTTCTTCTGTTATCATTTCCAATACTTTCATGCTCTTACTGGTGGTAAGTTTAAACGATTAACTGAATATAAGAATTATCACGAGTTCTACCGGAAATTTGTTCTCCAAATTAACACAAGAACGCATAAGTGGAACATTTTGATGACAATTTAATTTGTTTCTGTAATACATGAATTAGGTTTATGTCTCAAGTGTACGATCTTGATGCTCAAGTTATGTGCAACCGAGCTGCTTTAGTTAAGGACCAAAAACGATTTTGCGAAGAATATCCTGATATTGCGATCAGTATTGGGAAAGGAGCGAAACTTGGTGTGCAGGAGTGCCAGAAACAGTTAAAGGACGAATTATGGAATTGTTCCACAGTCGCTCGTGATGTCAGCGTTTTCGGAAAAGTTCCGCGAAAAGGTAAAAGAATCATTTATATATTGAGTTGTCGCATAACACTATCCAACCACGCGTACGGGAAAACTGAATAAAAGAAAATTTGCCAGATAAACTGTTACAGCATGAAAAAACAGCATGTACTTTGAAGGAGAAGTTAAAAGAAGGTGTTGTATATAACCTGTCATATAAGGTTCTAAGGTCTCTAAGCGTTCAGTCCGCTCGTCGAGGCCATGGTCCCAGGTCACTTGAAAGGTAGGGTTAGATATATTGCGCTCGAAAATTTGAGTATTATGCTTTTAAGCGTCACTACCCTCAAAACAACAGCGTAATGCCTAAAATTATCGGCTTGAAACTGAGTTGCGTTAAGCTATGCAATATTATAACCTTATCTTGTAGTAAAGGCTCAAAAATATATTATTAGCTCCGACTGCATGTTCACAGACGAAAAAACTTTGCTTAAAATTTGGCTTAACCCAGGATTAAATTTAAGCTTCACCTTCTTTAGATTACGCGGGCCCTGTACGACTAGTGAATTTTTCTTCGAATTATGTCGCGATTTCTCTTGCAAATCAGTGTCTCAACTAAATTACTAAACAAGTTTCAAATAAGTTTGTCCAGTGTTAAAGCCTTTATCCGTATATTGATGTTTTTCACGTCCGCTGAGTGTTGATTTTCTTTCCTTTATTTTTGCTGATTCAGTTCTGACATTGGAATGATGTGGCTTTGTTTCAGCATCTCGAGAGACCGCCTTTATTCATGCCATAACCTCTTCCGGGGTCGTTCACGAGATTACAAAAGCTTGTGCGCGTGGTGTACTGAGAAATTGTGCTTGCAATAATACTCAGCTAGCTGAAGGAACAGGATTCGAGTGGGGTGGCTGTGATGACAACATTGAATATGGTTTGAAATACGCCAGTAAGTTTATAGATTCTCGAGAAAAGCGGGAGCATGACATCAGAGCAAAAATCAACCTTCACAACAACCTTGTGGGAAGGCAGGTGAGTGATACATCGTCTGAATGGTATCCGATTTATTTGGTGGCAAAAAGTTAAGCTAAGTTAAGTTCACTCGTCTCAGTGGCATCCAATATGTGATTTAGAAACCACTTCATAAAAGTTGAGTAAAATGTTTCATTGTAAATTTAGTTGTTTTCGTGTCAAGAACTTTCTCGTTGCAAAGATTGTTTGTTTGTTAGTTAGTGGTACAATATCGGTTGTGATCACTTCATGACACATACGGTACTTCGCTCTTTTCTCGAGCTAATTCTTAGTGTTTTATGGTTTGTTTGTTTATATATTGTATAAATAATCATTAAGACAATTACAACAATACATGCCATCACCAAAAGTCAAATGTTCGCTCGCAAATGTCTGAGTTCTGAATCAGTACTGTATTTTATGCCATAACTTTTATAAGCGGTTCTACTGGTCAGTATGCTAGCTCACTTGGCAGTATATGTCATTCATAACCTGTCCATACCTACATCACGATGTATGGAGTCTGTGTATATTCTCTTCTGTTTTTAAGACTGCATCAAAGATAATTATACATCCAACGTTTTTCTACCTGTTAACAGAAGAAGTATACTTTGTTCTTTCAGTTAATATTTATATTGTAAGTTTACTGCCTTTCTGAGTTAATTGTTACCAGGAACCTCATGAGCTCCTGTTGTTACTTATAACCCCACCAATATTGATAACAACGAGTTTTATTTGCATGATCATACAAACACATACAGTATTGCAAAAGCTATGTTTAGAAATCAAAATTACAACACAGGGCAATTACGTTACTTTGACAATAATTTGTCACGAACATCAAAACAAGCTGAAATATATTTTATGAATTGTATATTGATAAAGTAATTAGAAGAGTTCATCAGTTCCTTGATCAAACCGTTTATAGGTAACTCGATAATTTTGGAATTAGTCTTGACTTTATAGTAAAATGTATTCCTAATCATAGAGTATGTAGGACATTGAAAAAGAAAGTGAGCTTCGTCTTCTATTACATTGTATCCACAAAAAGGGCAATGCCTATTATCCTTCGTAGTTTGATTGTATCTGCCTATTTCTATCATTAGTTTGTGATTGCTTATTCGTAGTTTTACTAAAGCCCTTCTCCCAGCTGTTCCTCTTGTTAAGTCTAAGTAACTCAGTAGAGGAGGTATATTATCGGTCTTAAAAGATCTATAAAATTCAAGTTTTTGAGAATGTTGAAGGGTGTTTTGCCAATATGAGATATATTCTTGTTACGTAGCTTTTTATCATAGCTATATCTAATACCAACTTTGATAAATGTGAGTTATGTGTACAATGCCTGAAAACTGGAAAATTTATTTTAACACCATTATATGTTACCGGAGCAGAAATGCCCCCTCCAATTTGTTCAAGTTGACTTAATAGATATCCCTGGTTGTCAAAATAAACAACCTTACCACCTATATCTCAGTTTTTCTGTACTTTGGTAATACTCAATGTGTTGGTTTTTCATTAAGTCTTTTTAAGTTGTCAAATACCAATTTTGGACCATAGACATTTCTTCTAACTATTGAAGCTCTTCGTAAGCAGATCAAGTGTATCAAAACCAACCCGTTTTACATATACTTTGTTTTTATTTTAGACAGCTATTAATCTAAGCTTACCATATAGTTTAAAAATATCAATGATTAAATTTTCATATATGTACCACTTTCTGCGTTAATTTTGAGTGCATTTCTCTATTTGGTGTATAAATACCCTTTCCAGTTTGAAGAGCTTCTTTCTCTCCGTTAATAATGCTTATTCTTTTTCTGTATTTTTCTATTATTTCAATATCTTCATCACATTTAGTTCTTGTTGGTTTTTGTTTTTGATATATGAGCCTTTTACGGTCCTATATCCATATTAATTTCCCTTTGCATCCAATGTGCATACTTCTCAAGTCTTTCTAGGGTTATTTGTATGCAGGAATAACACGTTTGTCAACACAGCGGCCTTTCCACAAAATCCAGGTCCGTAATCACACTAAAAGAGACCAGCACCTTGACTTTCTTGGCCTCACACTTAGTACCTCTAGCCCTTTCCCTTTCATGAAAACCAGGCCCTTTTACTACATTAGGCGACTCCAGTATCTGTGGCTTTTTGGCTATCCAGGAGTTTGTATCTCCAGCCTTCCAACTGAAGCAAGGACAGTTCTGGTAAAGTCCAGCATCTTCGCTTTTTCCGGTTCTCAAGAGTTTGCATCTTTAGCATTTCCATGAAAACCGGGTAATTTTCATATAAGAAACAGTCATTCCTGGCTTCTGGCTTGGCTTATTCCTGACAATACTAACTAGAGATAGTTTCTTAAACCTTTCCATGAAAGCCTGATAACTTTCACATATGGAACAGTCATTCCTGGTTTCCTTGGCTATTCTTGGTAACCCTAGAGTTGATTTCTTCAGCCTTTCCATGAAAGCCCGGTTATTTTCATATGGGAAACTGATAGTCAATTCCTGACTTTCCTGACTGTTCCTAGCAATACTAGCTAGAGATAGTTCTATCAGCCTGATAATATGCATATAAGGAACAGCCATTCCTGGCTGTCTTGGCTATTCTTGAAAATCCGGCAGGAGTGAATTCCATCAGCCTTTCACCTGAATCCCAGGACATTTTCATTCGTTCTTGGCTGTCTTGCTGTTCTTGATGTTCACCCTGTAATCGGCAAATTACTTACTTTGAAGTCGAGAAGCCAGGATTAAATCTTGGCTCTCCAGGCTTTTCTTCGAAGACCTATGCGGGCTTTTGAAGAGAGCTAAGAATTTCCTTGCTTTCCTGTCTTTTCCAGGCTTTTTAGAGGCCAAAAAAACAAAACATGGAAGAACAAAGAGAGATGGGAGCTCCAGGCTTTTTTTGGCTTTCCGCACTTTTTTGCAGGAGAATTGGGAGCACATATGAAAAATCAAGTCTATTACAGAGGTCTTGTAGTGTACCACAGGGGGTCAATTTTAGGCCCCCATCTATTTTTCAGTTATATCAATGACACTGCTAATTCTTCCAACAAAATGTCCTTTCGCCTCTTTGATTATGATGCCATCATCTTTTGCACCTCGAATGACATACATGATGTTAAATCACTTATGAATTCTGAGATGACTTGAGACCTCAATAATTATTACCAATTTGGAAAAATTGCATGCCATTTAGGAGATATCTCATGCAAACCATTCGAGGGGCCTACCACGAACACCATACTTATTAAGAGCCTAGTAAATAGTATTGGGTGATTTACTGTATCAAACGCTTTTGAGAACTAAAGAAGAGGCCACAAGATATAATTTTACAATCCTTATATTACATGTCGTTTTCGATACAACACAATTCTGAATGCAGTAGTTCTGTGTCCACCTATATCAAATTAACAAACACTGAATTTCATCTCATATTAGTCTTAAAATTAATATACACATCATACAGGACAAATTCCATCTATGTATAAAAACAAACTTGTAATTATTTGATTTTGTAAATACCAGAAAAAGTGTAAAGTGAGCCTTTGTGATTATAGCGGAATCATAACACAAGCCCTCTTGACGGTCCAATCTTTTTACCCAGTAAAATATTACTTATTCAGATGGCTACATTACCAGAATGGTTTTTTCTAACAAACTGTAGAGATTAATAATTTAGATTTTCATAAGAAAAAAAAAAAAACTCTGTATATCTATAAGCAAGAAACATAATGACTAAAACAGACATCCTTATTGTTAATATCATATTGAGAGCAGCATCTGAGTTTGGAAACGTGGAGAGAAATCAAAGCGTTGTATAAGTTTTATCATAAACAATTCTGGTAGTGTGTTAAGAAGCTTTCAAAGCGTTTCAAGCAATTGAACTTGGCTATAAATAAATATTCGACGACTCTTGTGACCTCTGGCACAGTAGCCCCGGTGGAGTTAATTAAATCCTGTTATACTAGCCATTACATCTGAAGCTGGATTGTTTCTTAAAACATCCAGCCTGAAAATCAAAACTTATGATAAAAAAATGAAACGGCTAAATTTATACAACTTACGAAAAAGTATTGGTTGAATTACCAGCAAACTTAAGAGGAACACAGTTCAATCATTATGAAATTATAACTTCTATGCCCGTAGAAGATAAGTTTGTGAAAAATTATATTAAAAATTCATAGCTGCAATAAATTTAAGTAATTCTATTGGTATAATAAAGTTTGTATCACACGTTCGTGGACACAGTTCACTGTGCGGTAAAACTTGATTTATAATATCAATTAAAATATGTCTGTGTGTTATTTTTGTGTCTTGTTTTGCTCTAATGGTGTCATTCAAACATTTTGCAACATGTATTTACGGTAAAGATAGAAAATAAAATACCCTTTCGATGTATCACAACTATGATGAGAGCCACAGTTCGCGCAAATAAAACCACCATTATTACTCAATTTCGTTCAAAAAATCATAATCATCGTATTGCACAGAGTTTTATCCTACTATTTTCAAATCAGAAAAGGGCGGGCATACTAAGACAATTATTGTGAATTTCAACGTTCAAATTAATGACTTTGTTTCTACCATTAATTTTTTCTTTTTTGCTCTAACTTCGTCGTCAGTTTTTGCTTTCAATTTGCTTGGTAACCAGAGTAAAGCCTATTGATGTTAAAAAAGTCTCAGTTGTATACGTAAGAGCAAAACGTCGTTAGTAGCTGATTTTAAATTATATTCGTTTAGATATATTTATATATTTTATTTACTACATATGGTAATCTCAAATGCCAAAGTAATGGGCTGCTCAAATCTCCCCATCTTGTGACCAATTTTGAGCGCAAAATTTTACTCCATTTCATTTTGCAAACACTTTTGGCCGAATTTTGGACCAAATTTTGCCATCTTCCATTTTTGATAGTACGGAATGCTCGCTAACGTTTGTAGCTGGCTTTTAAAACCATTTTATGGAACCAAATATGTTACCAGCATTTTGGATCCCGACGAGTCGCCTCTTCCACCCCTACCCTGCTTGAAAGCTTCCTATCTTTACCAGCACCTTCACGTTCCTGAAAGGGCCTCAGGCTTCGCTTCCTTACGCATGAGCTTAACTCTTTATCTAATCGTAGTGACGGCCAATGCTTTGAGCTAAGCGATGATAAAATGCTTTTGTGGAAAGGTTTTTTTACCCAAACATCTAGAGATGGAGGCGCCGATTGCACTATTATGATTAATACCGAATTTTAGCTAACCAGAAAGAGTACCAAAATGATAAAAGAAAAAAAAGTTAACAAAACTGATTTATGAATCTCCAGGTAACTTCCACCTCAATATTGAATTACTTGAGAGAATCTTTGTTTAATCAGCTGCAGTCTCCTTATGCTTTAGTCGTTGCGTTTTTTCCCCGTAGGCTGTGAAGAGCTATATGAGACTTGTCTGCAAATGTCATGGAATTTCAGCTTCGTGCTCATATAGAACGTGCCTTAGAACCTTGGGACCGTTTGGTACAGTAGGCGGGCATCTTTACAACAAATATCTCAACGCTACCAAAGTGACAGTCCATCAGGGTAGAAACCAACTCATTGCGGCCGATGAAAAATATCCCGGAAAGCTCTTAGAAGATGATCTTTGGTTCTTGGAAGAGTCCCCGAATTATTGCGTGCCCAACAACAACACAGGATCTCTGGGTACCACGGGAAGACGTTGCCACAAGACCGCCCCAGGCCCCGGGAATTGCAGGATTTTGTGCTGTGGGCGCGGCTATAACACCCTCCAAGTCCGTGAAGAGTATGAATGTTCGTGCAAGTTTTATTGGTGTTGCCGAGTAAAATGCAATACTTGCCGGAGAATGGTTGATAGTTACTTTTGTCGGTAAATGGGCCATTTGCACGATGACGTCATTTTACTACTACGACCAGAATCCTTCAGGATTTTGCTTTCTTGTGGAAATTAGGGCTTTTGTTTTCGAAAACGCACTGGGAATACCAAATTAGAATATGAAAGGAAAAACGAAAAGGATTCTGGTCTTAGTAGTAAAATGACGCCATCAAGCAAATGGCCTATTGCCGGTATCTATACAAAAGTTTATAATCTAAACAGGCCTGCATAGTCCTTAGGCCTATGTTCGGCCGGGTTACCAGCGAACTCCGAGCTAAACGTCGGTAATGTACTTCACAGTGGTCGTGAAAGCGTGGGAAAATGCCGTACAAAGACTTAGGAAGAAACAGGATGTCTTCTGGTTCAAGCTGTCAGAATAATTTTTTGGCTGCCTCGAAGGATAAGCCTTTGCTGTATGAGTTCAGCCTCTGATTTGCTAAGCTATTTCTTGATACTTCTATACCCTGCATAGCAGGCGCTTGAAAGTTATATGCTCGAAAGAACGGGCACACAAGGAGGAACGCGAGCGTTCTTTCTTGCAAACATTACTTCCAAGCGCATGCTACGTAGGCTGTTACCTCTAGTTTTATTTTGATGTTCTTCAAAAAAGAGGGAAATGAATGTACACCACGACTTCATCTTTGCGTTCTGGCGAATGCACATAACCTCAGTGTAACCATGTTGGTCAGTAACCAAACAATGTGAAATATTAGCATATCAACAGAGCCTATTTCAGTACTATTTAGGGCTTTGTGTGGATATCACCTGTTCTGCGCTTAAGCCTCTCTGCTTTTTCTTAGACGCCTGAACGCATCCGACGGTATATACTCATAATCAGCCTCCTCCTCAGGCACGTCGTTTTTCACACAAAGGCGAGCGGGAAACGCGAGTGACACTTTAGTGACTGCTGGTGACGAGGCTCTAGGGACTATGGGAAATAGAAAAATGAGAGGCAAAACCTTCTCCTTCCAGCCTTCCTTTGCGCGCAAATCGAGAGGAAGACGTCTAATTACCCTTCAGGTTCAGAATACTATGGAAAACCAGTTAGCTCTGAACTGGTTATCATGTTATCTGATTGAATGCATATTAGCAATTTGTTAGGAAACTGGATTAGCACTTTTCGGGCACCCGCTTAATACACACACCCCGAATTTATGACAGACAGTTTTCTTTGTTCCCTGCGATGGAAACCTCGAAATATTTTCTCTTACACATGCCTATAATGACAACAGTAATACGGAAAATAGACACTTTCAAATGAAGCTCTTTCATACCAACAGTATTAGTGATCGGTCGGACACGAGTAATATGTAAACTGTTATCATCTTGCCAATGAAAACCTAACACTGAGAGTCGAGATGTCTTTTAAAAGTGTTTGCTTAATATTCATTCCGTTAACCGTCATTAACTTAAGACAGTTGCTTCTTTTGTCATCCAGTCCACCCTATTCATTGAAAACATTAACTGCTTCTCACCAGCGACGCAAGCATAAGGATTCTTCATTTCACCACAAAAGGCAAAAAGGTCTAGTTATAAATATAAGCACACTCGTAAATCAATCCTTTTTTTTATTTGAAAACCTTCTGCGCATGCGCCGTGATAAAGTCACGTGGTCAAGTGTTAACCAATCAGATGTTTCAATGATTTTTCCCTTTCGTTTTGACATTGCTTTTGTGGTAAAGTTTGTTGTCTATTTTTACGTACTTTTAGACATGCGTATAAAAACAGAATAGAGAGGCCTCAACTGAAAACCACCTTGGCGAGTTTGGCTCTAGTCATGAAATGTTACTATTTCTATTATTGTCATTGTTTTTATGAAGAAAATATTTTAAGGCGTTAGTTGTATAAAAGGAAATGTTTAAGTGTCGGATGGTTAACTAACAAAAGATAAGAAGACTTTATGCCTGAGGCTAAAAGACATTTGCAGCCGGAAAGTCAATTTGCCAATGCAATTCAAGAGACGATATTTGTGTGTTTACCGATATTCCTTACTAATTCACTTAACCTTAAGCCACCAATCAGTGAGCATACAATTTCTCAAGACTGTTCTCCATACATTACCTTGAGGAATTAGCTTGGAGAATTTGATAGACGATCAAAACATTTTCCTTTGATGATCAATTTTTTCATTCTCCTAACCTTCTCTTTTGATCATGTATTGAAATGGTTAGGAGAAAATGGATGTTAACCACTCTAGGGACCTAAAGGGTTAAACGATTTTGTTAAAATAGCAGCTCTTATCAATTTTTATATCTTGCTTTAATACTTTTTTAAAACCACCGGCTCTGAGGTGGAGTTTGCTTACAAAGAGTCGACGATGAGAGTTTTCAGTCTTGATGGGCTATTGGAGACCGGATACGAATTCAGTAAATAACGATATCTTATTATAGAATGTTTCATTGTCGTTGTCATTCATGAATTGTTACTTAGATAGTATGGCCGAAAGAGCAAGAATGTTCTTTACTGAATCGAAAACTGCTCATTGTACCGTGATGAGACAGGTTTGAGTGGAACAAATTATAAATCAGACACTCGCATCTCTTTTTGATTGCTGCGTACACGAATCACGATCAACACAGTCGTACTTGTCGAGAACATGGCGAGTTCGACCTGCTTTTTCGCTGCTTTTCTGTTAACTTTTCCGATACTTTCGTCCTCTGATTGGTGGTAAGTTTAAACGTCTAATTAATTTAGAATTCGAGCTCAGTCAAAAATGAAACCTTTTGCGCAGTAGTTAATTTGATATAAATTCATATATTCATCGACCATTGCTCGTGTTTGTTTCACTAGGTTTATGTCTCAAGTGTACGACCTTGATTCCAAGGTTAGGTGCAACAGCGCTGATTTAGTTAAAGAACAACGACAATTTTGTGAAGAATATCCTGATATTGCGATCAGCATTGGAAAGGGTGCGAATCTTAGTATAACCGAATGTAAGAAACAACTCACGGAGGAATTATGGAATTGTTCTACAAACACTCGTGATGTCAGCCTTTTCGGTAAAGTTCTGCGAAAAGGTAAAGGAATGTCTTAATTACCATGGTTCAGCATGAAAACAACGTACGGAATTTTTAGGAGAAAATTAAAAGAAGAATATATACCACATAATGGTTAAAAACTTTTAAGTTATAAGCTACCAGCACAATTGTTAATGCTCTGTTCGACAAGGTTATTTCTCTCGCTAATTTTCAGATCGCATCATTGTACAACAAGTTGCTAAGACTCTGCCTATTGTAACAGCCCTTGAAATTCCTGACTTTATCTTGCAACATTCTTTATTTTGCTCCGTGCAAGGCTTGGTGTGACGGAAACGTCGACAAGCGCTTTTTTCTTCGGAGGTTTTACAGTAGTCTGCATGTATACTTACTATTAAAGGAGGCCATGAGTTCTTACTTATAACTCTATGCGTCTCGAAAAAAATCATGAGACAATTTGCGAGAAAACCGTGAGAGTCGTCTAATGTATCAGCCTCTGTCCCCAAATTTTCGTTTTTCACTTCCGCTGAGTGTTCGTGCAAACTTTCCCATTCATTAGTTTTTCCTGATTCAGTTTTAACATTGAAATGTTGTGGCTTTTTTTAGCTTCCCGAGAGACCGCCTTTGTCTATGCTATAACTTCCTCTGGAGTTGTTCACGAGGTTACAAAAGCTTGTTCTCGTGGTTTACTGAGAGAATGTGTTTGCAATAATACACAGCATCAAGGAAGAAATGGTCGAGGCTTCCAGTGGGGTGGTTGCAATGAAAGCATTGAACACGGTCTGAAATACGCCAGTGAGTTTATAGATTCTCGAGAAAAGGAACAAGACGTAAGAGCAAAAATTAACCTTCACAACAACTTTGTGGGAAGACATGTGAGTACATCATCTAATACAACAATCCACGGTTTCTTCAACTTTTGACTGGGACCGAGAGAGAATGAGCTGGGACCAGTTAGCGAAAATCCGTCAAAACGGCTGGAAAGAACGACTTAAAATCAGCAAAGTTGCCAAGTTTGAAAGTGATTTATTAAAAACTTACAAATATACAGCTCCGCAAAGGCGAAATTATACAAAATGTCTGTAAAATTTCGCGCCTTTGAGCCCCCACCATACAGACGTCTGTAAAATTTCGCGCCTTTATGAAGCAATATCTTCGCTTGTTTTGAACGTATCGCCTTTAAACCTGGTAAGGTACCCTATTTTTAGGTTCTTTTTCCAGCAGTGTCGATGGTTATTCGCTTAGTGCTCTGTATCCAGCAAAAGTTGGGGGAAAAAACCGTGGAAGGGAGTCTATCAGAGTATCAGATTCATTCTTCAGAAACCACGTCATTCTGAGCCCAAAATATTTGTTTTTGCTCCTGATTTTCCCGGCTCACACTATACTGGCCTTTGTGCTATGAATACTGTCGAGGGTAAATAAAGCTTTTAATATTGCGTTTTCATCATTATGTTGGTCTAATTGTTTGTTTGCTTTTTTGTCAAAAACAACCTTGTCCCCAAAACTTTGTGTTCGTTTGAATCGATAGTGATCAGTAAGACATTTTAACAACACTAAAAACGTGGCAAATCATTTTTACGCCATTTTTACCTTTTTACGTAGTTTTCTGCCCATAGTAACAGCCCTAGGGTAGCTTTACTGCGATAAATTCACATTTTAAACAGTCTTTTTGTGCTCGATTTTTCTAAACGAGTCGCCTTAATATTTTATTTAATTTTTCACCTCTTTTTGAGGTGCGAATAACTTGCCCCTGTCTAAGAGGAAAGAGCCATATTTCCTCCTGAATCAGTATTCTGTGACGTATTTCGTACATTGAGCAGATCGAGACGTTGGTTTGAAGTCTTTTCAATTACAACTTCTTCAATAGTTAAGTGCTTATCTACTATCTAAACGAGTATCGTTTTGTGTTACTTTTCAATTCTTCTGCATCTTTTCAAGCCCTCGAAATTTATTTTTTCACAGACACATGCATGACTGAAAAACTTCAAACCAGAGTGGCCAATTCTCTTCACTTCACCAGTTACTAAAACACACAATAAGACTTGTTCATTTATACGTGGGTATTGTTTGCGTCGCTTGTCAGTCGCTTATGTGGCTGACAAGAGACGCGAACGACTTCGTAAACGCGCTAAAAGCCATGCAAGAGAGAAACCTCTGCTCGCAGGGTAATACGTGGGGTCCCAAACCACTTTTAATTAACTCAAGTGCTTTCCGAAGAATTTTATTTGCCTTAACTGAGTACACACTCAGTTTACAATCATAGCTATACATGCTTTCCCAAGAAGCTTATTTACCTTAAGTACACACTCAGTTTACAATCATAGCTATATATGCTTACCCAAGAAGCTTATTTGCCTTAAGTACACTCTCAATTTACAATCATAGCTATATACTGCGTTCTTAAGACGCTTATTTGCCTTAAGTACACCTTCAGTTTACAGTCATAGCTATTGAAGGATAGTAAATAAATATCTGTATATTATACAAAAGTACTGTCGTGTTGACGCCTCTATTGAAAACGTTTAAGTCAAATCACGGTCCAGTGAAGTCCCGACATTTCAATTACCTCTTAGCTGGTTTCCCAGTATGGAGGAGGGTTTTGAAACAAAACTTTAATATAACACTCCGAGGAAAAGATCTCAGTTCCCTATTGATTGGGAACGGGGTCTTTGTTGAGCGTGATAAGAACATGTACTTTGAATAGACTGAGGCCTATAGCTATTATACTACATTAATTCACTTCATTGCGTGGGAAAGCCGCTTTTTCCCATTATCATGGCACTTATATTTCATTGTTTTCATAAGAGAATTAACGAACTATAAAATCCCCAGAGGTCCAAATATCGACAACGTCTAAAGTCAGTGATTTTACTTTGTTGCAAAATTAGCTCAGGCTTGTCGCTAAAAATAGCCGAATTGGAATTTCGAATATTGGCGATGTTACCATGGGTCACTTCTCTAGCTTACGAGCGACTTAAGTTCTGGCACTGTGGTTCGTAGTACAGTTATTTTTGAAGCAAGAAACGTGTTCCGTTTTTAATTTGTAAACACCCTAAGGCTGTTCTAGAATGATTTTCGGGAGGATATATGGGAGGCGAGAGTCATGGCAAGGCGAAGCAGTATTTCTTGAAAGACAATTCGGTTTTTTTGGGCATCCCACAATAAATACAGATAACAGCTGAATCCGCGAAAAAATATGAACACATGTTTGATTGTACTGAAGCGACCAGGCCGTTTGGCGCGTAGTCTGATCTTTATGTTCGCTGTATGTACTATGCTACTCAGATCATAAAAAGAATTTTTGCTGATATAAACAAGGAACTGCACACAGCATTTTAAGTAAGAAATTGCACGCAACGAATTCTCTTCAATAAGTGAGGTATATCGGAACCTTTTCTCCGAAGTAGCCTGTACACAGAAGGCTTTCCCTTTTTTCGACAAATTATTCGACAGCGCGCGAGAAAAAAAAAAAACGGAAAGGAATGTCTATTTTCTCTTCCACCCTGCTCTGTCATAATTTGTAATAATTAGTGTCGTAATTTATAATAGCTGTCGTAATTTGTAATAATTTTGTCGCGTTTTGTAATACCTATTGCAAATTGTAAAAACTTTGTTGTAATAAATAAGGAAAGCTGACACAATTTGTAATAACTTTGTCTTGGTTTGTAATAATAAGCATTCTTTACACTTAAGCGGCTTGTTTCCCGAGTGGTTTTTGATCGTCAAGGGGACAGTACAAGGTTGATATGAAAGGACACAATGATTTCAGCCCTTTTTTAGGAACTGAACCTGTTAAATTTTGAAAAAAAAACTTTGGAAGGTACAGTGCTACAAGCAAATTATGAGAGGTTTTCTTGTTACAAATTACGACAGCTTTTTTTTCACAAATTGCTACAGGTATTACAAATTACGACAAAATTATTAAAAATTACGACAGAACACACCCCCATCCCTTGCACCTGTGGTCAATAAATCCCTCGTGGTTGTATTTCTCTAAAGAGGAAATAGAAGGTCTGTGAACAGGCCACTCGGCAATACCCCTCGTGTGCGGACACTGACCACCTCCCATTTAGTGACCACTAAATCTTGGCATTTGGTAGGTCGACTACGTACGGGAAGTTCGACTGCTTTTCTTTTTGTTTTATGTAGGCTGTTAAGATCCATATGAGGCCGGTCTGCAAATGTCATGGACATTCAGCTTCTTGCCTGTATAAGACGTGCTACAAAAGGGTGCCACCGTTTGGTGAGGTAGGCGTGTATCTTCGTGAAAAATATTACAACGCCGCCAAAGTAACAGTCCATCAGAGCAAAAACCAGCTTGTTACGGTCGATGGGAAAACTACAGAAGAGCTCTTAGAAGGTGATCTTTGGTTCTTGGAAGAGTCCCCGGATTATTGCGTGCCCAACAACAGCACGGGATCTCTGGGTACCATGGGAAGACGTTGTTACAAGACCGCCCCAGGCCCCGGAAATTGCAGGAATTTGTGTTGTGGGCGTGGCTATAACAGCTTTCAAGTCCCTGAGAAGTACGATTGTACCTGCAAGTTTTATTGGTGCTGCCGGGTAAACTGCGAGATTTGTGAGGGAGTAGTTGATACACACGTTTGCCGGTGAATATCATAAAGCCTGCAGCTTTGACTGAGATGAATGGCTGTGAAACTAGAGACTTTTAGATTCTAACCTTTAGATTCGGAGGTGTTACTTGACCAATATTTGGGTATAGGTGAGCCGCTGAGGGTTTCAAACCCTGACCCTGTTTAGGACAAAAAATTCTTACAATACATACTTTGTTTAGGACAACACCCAATTTATTACCCTGTTTAGGACAAATGACACAAGGCATGCCGCCTTGTTTTGTCAATTGCACTAGAGCAAATTCACATAATTGCTATTGTATACTTTCTTTCATTATTACTTTCGGGTGTAAGATAATTTTTGTGCGCTCTAACAGTTTTCGGCATCAGCAAGATTCCAACTCATTGTTTAAAGGAAGCATTGGTCACGTGACCTCTTAGTGCCACTGGCCTATTTACCGTAGGTAAGGTAATACAACGTTTATGATTGATCCATGCACATATTAAGCGATATATTGATACAAATGAAGCAAACGGTAAAATACAGTGCACATGTTAATAGGCCATTTGCATGATGATGTCATTTTACTACTACTACCAGAATCCTTCAAGGTTGGGACTTTCGTTGTTTAAACCTCCATGGGATTACCAGATTTAAATATGAAAGGAAAAATGGAGAGGGTACTGGTCGAAGTAGTAAAGTGACGCCATCGTACAAATGGCATATTACAATCAGTGCACAAAAAAAATTGTGTGGGTTCCCCTGAGACTAAACTTGCAGTCTCATAACAAATATTGATCGCTTCCAACCGCTCTTGACAGCTCAGGTAGAAAATAGTGTGCGCCCTTCAAACATTAGCCTGCGTAGCAGGCGCCAGTTTTTTAGGGCGAATGAGAAATATTGAGGACGCGCGCGCGTACGAGAAGAGGAAAAAGGGAGAAGTGCCTCCTTTCGCGTGTTCCCCTGGCGCACTTTATAAAAGCTAACCTAACCAAAGAAACTAACCGGCGCCTGCCACGCAAGCTACTTAAACGTCAGACGTATATGAAAGCGTAAATAGTGTCTTTCAGCCTTAACCATTAAATAATCTGGAAAAAAGTGAACACACACATGACTGGTAATCTTTTAAAAATAAATCTAAATGAAGATATTATCGGCAGAATTCTAATCGCAATAAGGTAATTGCAAACTAAGCCAAAAATCTTTTCAGGTCTATAGAAAATGTTAATTAAATGTCTTTTAAGGCCTTCAATGGGATTCGAACCCCGGGGTAGCCTCTGCATTATCGCTGGAGGGTTCCAAGCCCGCGCACCGTTAAAACTGTTCTACAAGAAATCATTTTTATCCGACATGGTCGTTAGACGTTATTTCCTAGTAAATTTTAATTAAGTAGAACCTAAAATGCTAGCAATTGGCCATTTCGAGACTGTTTAGGGGACACTATCGCTTCTTACATTGACTACTGCGAGGTTGCACAGAAAACTGGGTCGAAGTTGGTCCACCAAAACAATCAAACAATCCCGCAGACACAACACCGCCCCTCAGTCACGTGCAACCTCAAAATAGCCAATCATGAAAACTTTCCTGGTCTGATGGGTACGTGTAAGGGGGGTCTGAAGCCCCCACGATCCGCCACCTGTGTGAAATTCTCTAACCTAACGTTTTGTAGAGGACTTGAACACTCGTCGACTTCTTCCTCGGCTCTCATTCTGGACATGGGTGAGGTCTCAAATAACGACGAAGTTTTGAAAGAACGCAAATTCACCAAACTAGTGACCTTTTTGTTGCCGTCTGCGTTGTCATTGTCAACGACAAACAATGGTCACGAACGGACTGAAAATAGAGCTGAACTTTCATTTACAACTTCCACTTCGGTTATTACAGTATGCACGTGTACGTTATTTATGACCAATAGGTTTATTTTCTTTAATATCTGCTATCGCTTTGTTGCTTTGTCCAAGGTCTATTAAGCCTCGCTTGCATGCAACTTAACAAATCGACAATACTTTTTCATGGTTTGTACTCTTATCGACCACAGAAATGACTTCAAAATGTTCAAAACTCAAGTGAAATAACAAGCCGCAGAGTACAGACCATTGAAAAATTGTTGTCGATTTTTTTATAATAACATTGACGGTTTTTGACGTCCATTTCCGTTGAAGTTTCTCGGAAAATCGCGACTTTGGAAAATGATTGCTTTTTTCGTGGTCCTGGTCAGTTGTCAAAGTAGGCTATAATTTGGGAAGAATGAAAAAAGGAAGAAAATAAGCGCGAGACAAACGTCATCACGTTCTGACGTCTGAACTAGGACTAAACAACTTCTACCATTAACTCTGGCTTTTTCCTTTGTTATTAACAGCCTCTGTTAAGGTATTTTTCAATACCCTTAGGTCTCTTTTAACCCTATAATCCCTAATATAAAAATTAAAATTCTCATTTACTGTCCTACACTTTTTTGATAGAAGTAGTGGGGAGAATTTGTTAAAATATTAATTAGACTTATCTGCCCTGATCATGTACTCAATTCTCAATTCTCATGACCACTCTGCTTTCTAAAATTTGAAATTTATTGGGCTTAAAGGGTTAATGTTGCCTTAAGCAGAGGAAAAATAGATACCACGAGGTCATCTGTTCAGTTTGACAGACAAAGTAAGGTCAGCAACGAACATTTATCAAACAAATTTTAGTGAATAACCGATTTTAGCTTGTTTAATATACTGAATTTTTACATTTTAATATTTATGATGATATAAATTTTTAGTGTTGTTGCTTAGCATCTTAGAAAAGTTTTTCTTACAGGACGGGGCGGTCAGCGGCAGGAACGAGAAGGATTCAAGGATTTTCCACAGCAATTTATTAGAAACTCAAATTCATCAGCAATACAGCAATGGTGACGTCAACAATCACATTGCTGAGCACCATTAACAGACGAAAAATTAAATTGACTGGGACTTTGCGACATGTACAACGTATTCTACAGACTAACATCAACGTCTTACTTTAGAAAGCTGGTTTACTAACTTAGAACAAACGCCACTGAATCGTAGCCAACAGTTACCGGCGCCGTATCGTACAAACGTCTTATTGTCAAGATCAAGCAAAACTAACTACGAGAGAACGACTGGAGAACTGACAATTTGACTAACAATAGACGACTGTTAAACTGTGAGAATAGACAGATCGAAACGCACCAATTACTGATTACGAGTCTTCATAGCCAATAACATCACGGCTTAACTGACAGACGACCAATAACATCGCGACGTAATTGACCAATCAGTTCAATAACCGGAGTATAATACCATCAACTGACGCGATACAACTAACCTTGACTCTGAAGATGACTACCGCACAGGTTGTCGAAACGTCAGTCACTGTCAACAACAACAGTCCTATTTAGGACTACTTTCACCCGGACGATCAAACTCAACCTACGTTTGAAATGACTCCTAGGTTCAAACCTTTCACAATCCCACTAATCTTAAAAAGATAAGGTCAGTTAACTGATTAAAACAATCCACCGAAAAGAAAAACCACAAAAAGCTAATATCCACTACAGCATTTAGACAAGGCACACGCAAAATCATTCCTAAGCGATGCACAAGCTTGCTAAATCAAACCGGAAAATTCCTAAGCGCAAAACTATTAGAAGTAAAATAATAAAAAAAAGTAATGCATTTCTAGATATAACTGAGAGTAGTGAAATGATAGGTCTAGTGACCCTGTCACACTTATTTTACATATTGTATTTTTTTCCCGTCATACCGAAAATGAGCTGTTCGACGAACTGTAAAACGTTCAGTAAATCCCGAGTTTAAATAAAGTGCTCTGTTCTGTTCTATGCGTCTTCAAATGGGGCTTATGCATATGACGTCAGGGTTTCCATGTTGGTGTATCCGAACAATCTGAACTATCTGCATAATAACAGAGCTTATTTCCGCATCACTTTGGGTAAAAATGGCATAACCTCCGTGGATTTATGTGGTTACCCATTGACGTCCGCACGCATCCTCAGCTATTCAAGAAAAATTGGAGACGAAAAAATTGTTGAAGAAAACAGTTGATTCAGATTAGACAAAACTTTCAATGTCTCAACTGTTTGGTTGGATTCAGACGTTAAAAAAACAGCAGCGAGGCTTCAAAGTGAACTAGAATTTGAGCAGGCGAGCTCGGACCGCTCAAGAATGATCCTAGGCACTTGTATACCTCAAGGCAATATTCCATTTTAACGACACACTCTTTGACCGGCACGGTTCTGAGAATCAGTCTAAAAGCACCTAATTTAAAGAAACTAAACGATAACTGACGAAGGTTTTGAAGAAAATCGCAGATCTATTGAGGGGCTTAGCTAGAAACTTTGCAGAGGTACGCAGCGTTTTTCAAATCCATCCTCTGCATCCTAACCTGCCTCTCAAATCATTTTATGCGTATCATGAGGTAACCGCTTTTTATTTCCTTTGCTTTGTCTTTGTTTTTATTATTCTTCAACTTCTTTTTTTTCAAATACGCAAATGCGTCTTTGCGTACAGGTAGTTACGCCCCCACAGTACCCTAACCTACGTCAAGCTACTCCAGTCAGCTCATCCATTCCCTGTTAATAACTGTCTCTCACTGGCTACCCAGGCATAAGCGCAAGCATAAGAGTCCTCATTTCGCCCTCAAAAGGGCCTAGACACAAACATAAGGGCACATAAAAGCACAAGTATAAAAATTTTTAAGTTATGGTCCAGATAAGAAGGAAAGAACAAAACGCAAAGAACACTTCGCAATGCAAAAATGTGCTATACTACATTATTTTGTGATGGGTTTAAACATCAGACTTTACGAAATCTTCGCAAAGAGCATGTATACAGGGGCACCCAACGGGAAATTTTGAGAAAAAGACCTAAAAACAACAACAAAGCGTGAATAAAGTTTTCTGAGACTATTTTAAGCATTTTGGGAGATTGCTGGAAAAAATTATCTGTTCCTCACTCCCAGCAAGACTGATGGAAGAGTTCCCAGCCAGCAACCTTACAACCTGCAACCTGACTTACTGGGAAGTTTCATAGGGCACAATTCAGATCTTGAGTGGTAAGTAACCCATGCAAGTAACCCGTAGCAGCTATTCTAGACTTCAAGTCCCCTCTGACACCCTGAATTATCTTTTTCCCAGCAACACTTTCCTTCCAAGGACTATTATTTCTTCCACATCTCCCAGCCAGCAAAAATGTGCCTGAAGAACAGATATTTTGAGGAACAGATCCATTGGGTGCCCCTGTGTATATTAATCTTTTGTTTTTTAACCAACTACTTCCTTATAACAAAATCTCTTCTGAGTCTAAGTAACACAGAAATCCTATCTGAGGAACACGTAAAATTGTAAACTTTTCTTGGCTGTTGTTTTTAACTCTTATGATTGGTCGAAATCTTTTAACACAGAAAATCACCCTTTAAAAATGGAGTTTAAATAAATTTTATTTCGTAAACTGCCTTTTTGTAGGTTTAATATGTATTCTCTGTGTGAAAATGAAAAAATTCCTTTCTAAGGAAAGCGTATTGCGCCATAACAAAATAAATTGCTTCCCTTCTTACCGTATCATTAACTGCGCATGCGTCGCTTAAAAGCCACTTGGTCTTGTGTTAACCAATCAGGGCCGGGTATTTCGAAGCTCAGTGAACCCTAATCCCGGGTTAACTGTAAACGGAGCAAATAAGTTGTCATAGTAACTATCCGTGGATTTGCGCCAATTACAGGTATCATTCGAGCAACTCCGCCATGATGTTCTTAGCCGATAACGCTTTCCCCCTCTTTTTCGCTTTCTGTTGGGTTCAGAGTCCGCTGTCAGAGACCTACAACACAATACCGAGAATCATTAAACAAGTAGAGACGCTCAGCGAATTTAAAATCAAGCTAAAGCGCCTTTTTAAACAGTAACGCCTGCGGTACATGTTGCCTTTGTAACTTAATTAATTTTCTAGTTTTAGTGTCTTTGGTTTTGTGTTGTGTCAGGGCCGCCATTTAAACTAGCTCAGTCTGCTTAATTGGATGCCCCTGGATAAATATTGATGGAAAAAAAAAACAAAAAAAAACAAAACGAAACAAAAAAACACACAGAACAGAGAGACCTCACTGAAAACCGCCTCTTAGCTAATTGGGTTCCAGTCATTAAATATTGGCCATCTTAAGCAACAACCACGGCGAAGTCTACGAAAACGTCGCTAAAAAGGTGAATGCGCGCTGTTTCATACTTTATCGCGCGCTTATTCCATCTCGTTTAATTCGCCAAATGTTGACAAATGTTTGGGAGTTGAATTCTAAAGAACTGTATCAAAGTTCAAAAAAAGAAAAAGAAAGTTATTGTCTTGTGTTTCCGTCCTCGACGAAACGTGAAATTAGGCAGTTTCGCATTAGGGAGCGTAAGCAAGAACGGCGGCGACGGCAACGAAAACGTCACTTAAAAAAGTGAAGTCGCGCTGCTTCAAACTTTATCGCGCTTGTTCCATCTCATTTACTTCGTCAAATGTTCGCAAATGTTAAGAGTTGAATTCTAAAGGACTGTGTCAAAGTTCTGGAAAAGAAAAGGAAAGTTGTCGTCTTGTCTTCCTGTCCTCGAGAAAACTTGAATTTAGGCACTTTCACCTCGTAGTCGTGCAAAAAAATGTACAAAAAGCGTGATGCACGTGCAAAGTTGTTGTTTTACTAATCTAAACCTCTTGCTTTTTTTGCCGTTTTTGTTGCCGTTGCCGTCGTCGTTGCTTAAGCTTCCTGTTACTGTTAGTACTACAGTAGAAACTCGATAACTAGAACTTCCGCTGTCTGGAACTAAATTTCCTTTCCCTTGATCAAAATTTCACCGAAATTTATCCCTATGATTCGAATTCTGGTTGTTGTAACCCCACTCGGATGCCATCCCATTAGCTCTTCTCGTTGTTTAATCGGTAAAAACACTAAGGCTAATAACCATGTTACCGTTTTTGATGGAGTAAGTAAATTGCACTGTACTAGCCCTATACACACTGAAGTGCTGAAAAATCAGTAACTAGCGTTTATTAAAGTGGCGTATTGAAATTTCAATCGATCCCGATAACTCGAATCCCCGCTAACTCGAACTGTTTTTCGTTTCCCTTCAGAGATTGAGTTACCGGCCTTCTACTGTATTTTTATTAGAGACATCAAACGAAAATATTTTTGAGAGCATAGTCTTTAGCACTTAATGACTTCCTAATAATTAAGGTTTATAAAAGAACGATATTTATCGTCGGTTTTGAAACTTATAAACAACAAAAGGGCCTGAGGCGAAATACATTCTGTACATTTGAATGTATTGATTATACTGACAAAACGTCTCAGACGTCCTGTCAACGCAAAACATTCGAGTGTTTCTGCCGGGATATCCCTCAAATAGTTAAATTAAGCAGGCCGGCAGTTTCCTTGAAAGAGTGAACTCTTCTATAGTATTTTTCTTAAAGCTACCATCTCTGAAGTGAGGTTTGTTGTTATAAACTGCATAAAAAGCGTTTTTTTGATCGGCTACCGGATATGAATTAAACTTCTTACGATGATGTTTCATAACTGTCATTTTCAAGTATGATGATTATTACTTACGTAGTATATATGGCCACAGGTGCGAGAATGTTCTTCAAAAAAAAAAAAAAAAAAACATTGTGTTGCGATCAAATAGTTTTGAGCGGAAAAACTTTAAACTGAGACGACTCTTTTTAAACTGCGCGTAAGACACCGGACCGGGAATATGGGAAACTCGACCTGGTTTTTTGCTGTTCTTCTGTTATCATTTCCAGTACTTTCATGTTCTAACTGGTGGTAAGTTTAAACTTCTAACTGAATATAAGAATTTTCAAGAGTTCCACCGGAAATTTGTTCTCAAAATAATGCAAGAAGTGTTAAAAGTAAGACAAAAGTGGAAAGTCTTGATGACTACATATAATTTGTTTCTGTTATGTATGTATTAGGTTTATGTCTCAACTGTACGATCTTGATGCTCAAGTTATGTGCAACAAAGCTGGTTTAGTTAAAGACCAAAAACGATTTTGCGAAAAATATCTGGATATTGCGATCAGTATCGGGAAAGGTGCGAGACTTGGTGTGCAAGAATGTCAGAAACAGTTAAAGGACGAGTTATGGAATTGTTCTACATTTGCTCGGGATGTCAGCGTTTTCGGAAAAGTTCCGCGAAAAGGTAAAAGAATCAGTTATAGTGGGGTGTCGTTAAGCGAGATATCACTAGGTATTACTTACCACCATCCAACCACGCATACGGAAAAGCCAGATAAAAGGAATTTGCCAGAAAAACTGTTACAGCATGAAAAAATGTATGTACTTTGAAAGAGAAAATTAAAGGAAGGTATATGACATGTTATATAACAAACGATGGTTATAAGAATGTCTTAGTCATTTCTAAGGACCTCTTTTAACGTTTAGCTCGCTCCTTAAGGCCCAGGTGCTTGAAAGGCCAGTTAGCGCAATTTACCTTCCAAAAGATTGTTTTTAGTATCATACATTCTGTGTCGGTTATCATAACCTTATCTTAGAGTAAAGGCTCAAAAATACTTTATAAGCTCCAACTGTATGTTCCTAGACGAAAAAATTTTGCTAATAAAATTTGGCTTAAACCAGAATTAAACTTCATGATCTTTAGGGGAACCGCGGGCCCTGTTCGACTGGTGAATTTTTCTTCGAATTTTAATATGTCGTAATTTTTCTCGCAGATTGTGCCTCAACTAAATCACAAGAAAAGTTTGCAAAAAAACTTGTTCAGTGTTACAGCCTTTATTCGTATATTGTTGTGTTTCACGTCCGGCGATTGTTGTTTTTCTTTCTGTTATTTTTGCTGATTCAGTTCTGACATTGGAATGATGTGGCTTTGTTTCAGCTTCCCGAGAGACCGCCTTTATTTATGCCATAACCTCTTCCGGGGTTGTTCACAAAATAACAAAAGCTTGTGCTCGTGGTGTTCTGAGAAATTGTGCTTGCAATAATACTCAGCTAGCTGAAGGAACATATGATAGTCGAGGATTCGAGTGGGGTGGATGTAATGACAACATTGAATATGGTCTGAAATACGCCAGTGAGTTTATAGATTCTCGAGAAAAGGAACAAGACGTAAGAGCAAAAATTAACCTTCACAACAACTTTGTGGGACGACAGGTAAGGATACATCGTCTGAATGGTATCCGATTTATTTTGTGGCAAGAACTGGGTTAAGTCGACTTGTCTCAAAGGCATCCATTTTTATCTTTAGAAACCGCTGACTTCATTTATTTAGTTGAATAAAATGTTTTCTTAGTTGTTTTTGTGTCAAGAACTTTCTCGTTCCAAAGACACACATGAAATAAGGGGGTTCTGTGACGCCTCTCTTCAGCTCGGCATCACAGAACGTTTTTCATGTGTGTACCTCGGGGAAGCGAGATACCCAAAACTCGGACTCAAACGCAAATGAAATACCAAATGCGGAAAGTTGTTGCATTATAACTACATTCCAAAAAGCACCTGGCAACAGGCACATTCCTGAAAAACATAACAACCAGCAACTTAGAAAATTGTTTTACAACTTAGGTTGAGAGTCGTCCGTTGTTAGGGTTTTTCAGGAATATATCTATTGTTTTGCATGTGATATTCGATTGTTTTATCATTTGCGTTTCAACAGAGCTCGTGATATTCTATTGTTTTTAAATTTACCTAACAACCGAGTTCGCGAAGGGAAAGGCCCGCCGCTGAAAATAGCCTTTGATAATGTATCCTTAATGGTCGTTGGGCAGAACTATATGGCATAATATGGCAGGCCATCGCGTTCAAAAGTCGATATCATGATATCATTCCTGATATCGTGATATCAGACCATGAGATCAGGATATCATTGCCCCCGCATCCTAGTAGCTTGCGCGTGTATAAAGGAAAGTACTTACAGTTGACATATGCAGTTAGTATACCAAAGAAAGCTTGAACAGGGGCCGCGAGGGATTGTGGGTTAATAATGACGTTTCCATTGTTTAGGATGACGGAAAACGGAAAATCCCCAAAGGGACCGCTTGGGTTGATTTTGTGACAGTCGTTGTAAAGTCATACCGTAAAATTCCGAAAATAAGCCCTTCCTTGTATAAGCCCCTCCAAATATAAGCCCCCCAAACTCGTAACGCAAAAAACCCTCCGTTACATCGCCCGTCCGAATATAAGCCACCTGGGGGGCTTTTACTTGGAAATTGCCCTCAAATACAAAGTAAAACAAAGCAAAAACTGTAAATTTCCTTTCAACTATAAGCTAGCCCAATGGATTTTGAAACGCAAATTTCCCTCCGTACAGAAGCCCCTCCGAATATAAGCCCCTCAAAAAAGGCCTTTGAAAAAATAAAAGCCCCGGGGCTTATTTTCGGAATTTTACGGTAGTTCGATACTCTTATGCGTTACGTGTGTGTTCACTGACATTCTGTGGAGCAGCTAATTTGAAAGTATTAAAGCAAAACTGAAATTCTTGTTTTACTCTCTCAAAAAAGCATCAAAAACTCAAAGACCACGAAAGAGAAAATTTCTTGTTTGACCTAAATTGTGGACCAAAAGTCGATAAGTGCGGACGTACAGTAAGTTATAAGTGGTGCATAACATAACTGTGTACAAGCGCTTCGAGGATTTGCCAGACACAAGTTTATCGTGATTCACATTTCTCTGACTGGAAACGATTTGAATTTTTCAGACACAAATCTCTTTGAGGCCGTGAATGTAATATACAGCTAATTTTAGCTAAACCGGCAAGAGTACGTTTATGACTGTCTTGGCACTTCCACCTCAGTATTAAATTACTGAAGAGAAACTTTGTTCAGTCAGTCTGTTTTTGCCTTAGTCGTTGCTTTTTGTTTCCTGCAGGCTATAAAGAGCCATATGAGGCTGGTCTGCAAATGTCATGGAATTTCAGCTTCGTGCTCATATAGAACGTGCCTTAGAACCTTGGGACCGTTTGGTGCTGTAGGCGGGTATCTTCACGACAAATATTACAACGCTACCAGAGTAACAGTCCATCAGGACAAAAACCAGCTCGTTGCGACCGATAGAAAAAATCGAGAAAAGACCTTGGAAGATGATCTTTGGTTCTTGGAAGAGTCCCCAGATTATTGCTTGCCCAACAACAGCACCGGATCGCTGGGCACCACGGGAAGACGTTGCCACAAGACCGTCTCGGGACCTGGGAATTGCAAGATTTTGTGTTGTGGACGTGGCTATAACACCCTTCAAGTCCAGCAAAAGTATGAATGTTCATGCAAGTTTCATTGGTGTTGCCAAGTAAACTGCAACACCTGCAGTAGAATAGTTGATAGACACGTTTGCCGGTGATTTGAGCGCAGCTTTACAAAAGGTTGTAATCTAAACAGGCCTGCATAGTCCTTAGGCCTTAATAGTAGTCCCTAGGCCTTAATTCAAAGGGCGACTTATCAATTTGTTTGAGTTACGCGCTTTGAGCTAACACGACGAGCTAAGGCGTCGAAAAAAAAATAGGCTAATAACCGTAGCAGAGATGTAATATAGGTAGTATAAGAACTTAGTTCGCACCTACAGTTGAAAGTTAGTACGAGCGAGGTGTCGCTTATATTATTTGCGGTTAGGAATTTTCCGGCCCATTGAAAAGAGAAAATATTTTTTTTAACGTAATTCCAGAAATGTTATTTGCGTGATGTGGCACTTCTTTTCAAAAATAAATAAATAAATAAATAAACGGAGATTACTGTACGCTGCACTATTAAAGATAAAAAAAGTTGAGGCAACTAGTCCTCTTCGTAAGTTGAATTCACTGCAAAAGAAAAAAAGTTCAGTTAGCCACGAGAGGTCTAGATTGAGAGCAGTCTCTCTTTTTTCTTAGTCCGTCGAGCGAAACGTGCGAGAGACGAAAATGACCACACGTGAGACTGAAGGCGCTAAGCGAGAGAGGCGCGGAAAAAGCCGTCCTCGTTTCTCGTGTCTCGCGGCTTTGCCGCTCGACGCTCGCGTGCGCGTGCACTCCCCTCTATAAATCTGGAGAAAAAGAGAGACTGCTCGTAGTCTACGAGAGGTCTAAATTTCTTTCTCCCCTCAATCATGAAGCCAGGATGAAATACCGAATAATATCTGGAGCAGACAACTAATCGACTCCTGATTAAATACATCTTTAAAAAATGCTTAAGCTTGCTGAGTTTGCGCGTGGGGATGTGTATATTCTGCCCACAGAAAACAAAAGCTCAGTTAAAAGGTGACTATCCAGGTAAACTAGTAATAATTGCAAATTAAGGAAGTGTGTTCGGCAGGGAGGGGTGGTAAGGCGAGGAGGAGGGAGAGGGGGAGGGGGAGTAAGAGGAGGAGGTAAGGGTGTACAAGGAGTGATAAGTATGATATTATGTCCTGGTTGTCATATTCTCTTGATATTTTACGTCTGGTTTTGATCCAAAAACTACAATCAAAACTCTATAATACTAACTCTAAACTCCAGACGTAAAATAGAAATAGATCGCAGAGGTCAATAGTCAAAAGTTGGCCTTCTTCAATATGATCTCAGTAACTGAAATCAGTGTTATTTTCCCGTATTGTTTGCTCTCCCACTTTGGAATGCATTGTCTTTTCATTTTGCCTCATAAATACCAAAGCCTCCTTTATATTTCATATACTATATTTGGCTAAACCCTTGAGTAAACAACAGGATCGCATCCATGAAAGCAAAATTGTACAGTGTGCCGAATACGTTGTTAAGGACCTAGATATCTGATTATCTTGAAATGGAACTGTTCCTATAAAAAAATACGGACAACGAAGCTCAGTTGTAAGGAAAAAACGATAAGTAATCCTCTCCTGTAAGCAAAAACTTGTCAATGTTTCATCGGTAGTAAACGAGCGTGGCACAAAATAGATACCGGTTCCCGATGGAGATAAGGCATGAGATTGAGGCTACATGCGGCAGCCAGCCAGCTAGTCAGTCAGTCGGTAGAAGAAGGCGGCCAAACCATGAAATCATATGGCATCCAGAACAGTAGCCGCAGGACAGCGTGATCCCGCGGGTAAAAAGTACTCGCAGGTCACAGTTCTCCTTCGTCGAGCACAAACAAAATATAAGTTTGCGCGTGGTGGGGTTTTAATATTCTGCCCACAGGTAAGAAGATTACAACAGCTCAGTAAAGAGCTGACTACCCAGGTAAAGCAGAATTTATAAGTTAGCACGTGGAGAGATTGTTATTCTGCCCACAGATAACAACAGCTCAGTAAAGAGCTGGCTACCCATGTAAAGCAGAAATATCGGAAAGTTAGCGCGTGAAGAGGTTAATATTCCCCTTGATATTTTCTTCTAGCATTTTCGATCAACAAATAATAAAAAATAACAACTGCAACTTATTACCAGTAGTGATTTTGCTCAGCTTAACCACGCTAAACTTAACCCGACAAGCCCCTTTTTATTGACAAGAATTTTCCCATCCCGTTATCGGGGTCGCATGCAATAAAAATTCAATCGGACACTATTCGCCGGCATTTTTCCCGTAAAGGCATATTCAAGTCGAATGCGACGAGTATTTGCTCATCTCCTCATTTTGCTCAAAGCGTCCTCAAATACCTCCACCGTTACAGGCGCTAGCGAAATCTACGTTGCCGAAATTCACCGCGACTCTGAAGGTACGAGTTGTAGGAGGCCTAAATGTAATAAACGACTCTAAATGTAATAAAGTTCTTAATGTAATAACTTTTTGCCCTAAATGTAATAAACTCTTAAGAGTGATAACATTGATTAGGCCTTATTAAGAGGCCCTGACTGTAAATATCGAGAGTCCGCCGACAATTGCAAAATTTCATAATTTATTTTATTCGACCTAAAAGAACCTTTTGGTGAACTATTTTCAAAAAAGGAAATAAAAAGTTCCATCGCGCTTTGGTTTTTCCAAAAAATCCAAAAGTTCAAATTACACCAAGGCGGCCCTCGATCCCCCGGAAAAACAATGAAAAATTTTGCAACTTTGCTAACTTCGTACGCGACAATGCGTTAAATTCTTGGTTTGCTACTTTGTACATTGGTAAAAGGTGCCTTTGTCTTTTGCAAAAAACTTCATGTAATTTTGTTATTTTTAAGGCAACATAAAAACTCGCTGAAATAACTAACTTTCAATCTTAACTTTTTGGTTGAAGTGAAATAAAGGTCAACTTCAAAGGCCTATAAAAATCCTAGTATCTAAATTTACGTCTCATATTGTACATCAGGTGAAAGCTGCAACTGTCGTTTTTGGCCCAGAAAAATTAGCATAATGAAGAAGGCAGCCGTGACACCGCCCCTTTAAAATGACGTGTTACACGTCACTGATGTCGCTAAAACATTTAAGGTCTAATGTTATCAGGCTTAACAGTTAATTACATTTAGGGCAAAAAGTTATCACATTTAGAACTTCATTACATTTAGGGCTTTATTACATTTAGGGTCGTTTATTACCCGGCTTTCCTTTCAGGAAGAGACGGGTATAGTTCTTGGTCGAGTTGTTCAAAGCTGGATTAAGATAACCCACGGTTAGTGCGAGATTTGAATTCAGATTTGAAAGCTTTAAAAAGCATTTCAGTTTTAATTCTTTTTGTCTACAAGTTGATGATTGAAAGCTCTAAATATAACAGAGAAAGTTATCCGAGAAAATGCTTTTGAACATAAGAAAAAGAAACCCGGGTTAAATTTAACCCCGGGTTAAGCGCTAATCGGCCTTCGAAAAACTGAGCCCTGGCCGTCGTCTAATCGCCCTCTGCTCTTTAAAGCGCATGCCTGTGCTGGTGAAACATCACGTGATCGATTTCCGGCAATTTCATTGGCTTAGAGGCAAAATCTCTTTGAACAAAGTCGAGAACAACACGCGTGAACACGGGCAGGCTTTTGTCAGTCGGTAGCGTTAACGTTTTGGTTTTGTTGCCTCTATGAGTGATCGACAATTATGTTGGTCGAAATGTTTAGTGATATAGGTGTTGTCTAGAGAATAATGTATCCCGGAACTGTCAGACAAACACAGTTGCACGATCCGTTTAATCGAGATCGGCGTTAAAAAGGTGGGTAATTTTCACTTTTTATGTTTAGTGCAAGTCACGAGAACTTATATAGCAGTTGAAGAAACACCATTGAGCTTTGTTTTGGCGAGTAAGAGTGTACCGAGGTGCAAGGAAGAGGCAGTTTTGTAAAACGTCAGTGGCACCCAACGTCAATTTTCGGAAAATATCTGTTCTGAAGACGCAGTTTGAGATCTAGAATTTTCGGAACATTTGTTGTAAAATTTCATGCTTGCCTGCCTCTCCTAAGATTTTCGAACATCTAAGAAGTGGTGGAATTGCCCAGTTTTAACGGATTTTTACCCTAAAAAGGTCACCTAGAACTTTCGGGAGCCTTTTTTTCTGGCTGAAATTTTCGAAAAGGTAAGTTCCGGGGCACCCAACGACAATTTTCGGAAAAATATCTGTTCGGAAGACGATTTGAGATCTACAATTTTCGGAACATTGGTTGTAAAATTTCTTGCTTGCCTGCCTCTCCTAGGATTTTCGAACATCTAAAAAGTGGTGAAATTGCCCATTTTTAACGGATTTTTACCCTAAAAAGGTCACCTAGAACTTTCGGCAGCCTTTTCTCTAGCTGAAATTTTCGAACAGGTAAGTTTTGATCCCTATAATTTTCGGATCACTAGACTTTCAGCTAGGAAATCCGAACAGATGAAAAATCTATAGGGGATAAAAATATGCCCATATCCACTGTTTAAAAACTAAAACACGTTTAACAATTCTATGTTTAAGGGGCTTTGAACTATATTCTCGTTGGGTGTCCCTGTAAGTTTTGATCCCTATCAGGAGCCCATAATGGGCTCCTGTCTCTATAAGTTTTGTCTCTATAAGTTTTGGATCACTGGACTTTGGATTTTCAGCTAGGAAATCCGAACGGATGAAAAATTTTTAGGGGATAAAAATATGCCTATATCTACCGTTTAAATACTAAAATACGTTTAACAATGCTATGTTTAAGTGGTTTTGAAGTATATTCTCGTTGGGTGCCCCTGAAACGTATGGACCGTTTTTGTGCTAAATAGTACGTACGACTTGACTGTTCGATCTGTACAAACACGTCCACGTCACTGTAAACACCTTATAAATGTTATGCTTTATAGCTTTTATCTCAAAGCAGTAAGACACATTAGAAAATTTAAAAGTAGAGAAATTGCTCTGATTTGTAATATACCATAGTTTGCACCTAGTTGCAGGAAAGTGGCAGTAATTTTCATTCATCAAAACAAACAAACCTGACTGTTCATCTCAGAAGTTTATGCTTGGTCCAAGTCTTGTGCTTCCCGGCTGTGTCGTGTAAAAACGGAAACTTACTATATCGAGGGAAAGAAATATTCTTTGACTTTTTTTGGCATATATGGATTAACTTGTATCGAGCTCGCAAGGAAGCGGCAGGTTTGTAAAGCACGTAGCGTTGTTTGATGCTAAAATTCGACATGATTTTGATTGATCAAACAACATCTCATTGTTAAATTAAATCAAAGGTATTAAAGCTTATCTGAGCTCTTTTAAAAGTGGGCGATTGCTTACTATCGAATTTCGATCTTGCAAAACTCCATTTTGATCGATCCAACATTATTAGAAATTTCAAAATTATCTATGCTAGAAATTTTTCTCTTTGCTGTGTTCAGCTACTGTACATTCAAACTTGCAATTAAAGAATCGACAAATCGATTATAATATTCTGTACTTAAATTGGTTTCGGGATTATCCTCAACGAGGTACACAGTATAGGTTTGGGTTTTCTGTGGTTACTTCTTTGCTTGTTGTTGAATCTATAACAAGGCAATGAAATATTGACATATCCTTCATTTATTTACTTTTTTTTTCAGAGAAGATGAACTTGATCCCAAATCAAACAATAAGTGCAGCAACACTTTTCGAAGTTTTCCAAAGATGAATTAACTAAAAGGAGATGCCGGTAGTTTGTCTTTGAAGTACCTGTATCAGAGTGACAACAATATGAATAAAGATCTTACTCCTTTGTAGTAATTTAGCATGTACAATAATCACTTCAGCAACCAAAACAAATGTAAAATCCTTACCTAATTATTCCAGCCATTATTTTCTCTTCCTCTTCATACAGGGTGTTATTTCAAAGTTTTTTCCCTCAAAATATTAGTTTACTACCTAACATTGTGACTGAAGCTCATGCTAATTTAAAGAAAAAGAAAACTACTGCAACACTACTTTGAAGTATTATGCAGTCATGGTCAAGTACACCCCTTTGGAACGTTCGAGTCTTTCCAGTCTGATTTGCTATCCGGTAGTATGTTCCAAAATAACAAAAAAAATAACAAGAAAGAGAGTACGGGTTGATCAAAGCTTTTAAAATTCCTAATTTGTGAACAATATCTGCAAAATCACGCGGTCATGTGACAACCAATCAGGGGCCGGTTGCTCGAAGCCTGGTTAGCGCTAACCGTTGGTTAAGAGGTATGGAAATGTATAGGTTTCCATGGTATTTAACGCTGGTTAGCGCTAACCATGCTTCGAGCAACCCGGGCCTGATGATTAATTAACCCCCCCCTCCCCGCCCCACCACAGACTTTTTTTCCGGAATCGCCTTTGTGAAAAGTCTGCTTTCAATTTTTTTTGACTTGCAGGACAGGCATGTATGTATACACAGAATAGAGAGACGCTACTGAAAACCTCCCTGTTGAGTTGGGTTCCTCTCATTAATTATTACAGTGTATTATCACTATTATTTTTAAACCGAAAATATTTTTTGAGGGCCTGAGTTTTGAAATTGAAATTTGGCGAGATAACTGAGTATTTATTACTTCTACTTTCGAAAGATGAAAAGTAAAGGGCAACCAAAATTTTGATCATAGTGGCACTTTAACAGGCGGATGAAAAATTAACAAAAAAGTTAGAAGACTTAGTGAGTCAATGCATTTCAAGACCCGACATTTGAGTGTTTACGAATATCCCTTTGTTGATAAACCAACTCTTATCAATTATACTGTGCCTCTTGCTCTGATACATACTCTTTTAAAACTACCGCCTCTGAAGTGGAGTTTGCTTATATAGAGCCGACGACGACCATTTTCTAGATTGGCTGTTAAGAAACCGGATGCGAATTCAGTAAACTGTATCTTATATGATGTTTCATTATTGTCAATCATGAATTGATACTTGGCATGGCTGAAAGAGCAAGAATGCTTTTCACTGAATCGGAAAAGCTCATTGTCTCGCGATCGTTCAGTTTTGATCATTCAGACGCGAGCGAGATTCTTTTTAAACTGCGTACAAGAATCACTCACAGGACATACGTGTAAAAGAACATGCAGAACTCGACCTGCTTTTACGCTGTTTTTCTGTTATCATTTCCATTACTTTCTTGTTCTCATTGGTGGTAAGTTTAAACGTCTTAATGATTATTAGAATTTAGCTCTTAAGTGAAACCGTTTGCGCAATAGTTAATTTGCACGTTTGTTTCAATAGGTTTATGTCTCAAGTGCGCGACTTTGATGCCAAGGTAATGTGTAGCGTGGCTGGCTTAGTCAAGGAACAGAGACAATTTTGTGAGGGATCTCCTGATATTGCGATCAGTGTTGGAAAGGGTGCACAACTTAGTGTAGCCGAATGCCAGAAACAGCTCAAGATGGAATTATGGAATTGTTCTACAATTTCTCGTGATGTCCGCCTTTTCGGTAAAGTTCTCCTAAAAGGTAAAAGAATTTCTTAATTGCCGTAGTTCAGCACGAAAAAATTGTACGGAATTTAAAGGAGAATGTTAAAAGAAGAATATATCTCGGGTTAAAAATGATTAAAAATGTCTAAGTTTTAAGCTACCAACACAAGTGTTAATGTCCTGTTCGACAAGGCAATTTCTCCTGGGACTTAAATTTGTGGGACAAGTTGCCAAGTCCCTGTCTATTTGAATAGCCCTTGAAATTCTTGATTTTGTCTTGCAGCATTTTTTATCTTGCTCCATGCAAGGCTTGGTGTAGCGAAAACGTTGAGAAATGCTTATTTCTGAATCAGTGGTTCTACACTAGTACACTACCCAGGGAAGGGCCCCCTTATCTTAGGGTCTGGATGACCGGGTCCCCCCTTATCTGAAGGCCTGGATCCGCCGCCACTGCCCCATTAACTAGAGCCCATAGGCTCCCGCTATTAATACATTTTTCTTGCCCTTGCGAGAAAACCGTGAATCGTCTACGGCAACCTCTCTCCATAAATCGTTGTTTTTTTATGTCCTCTAAGTGTTCACACAAATTGCTCGTTTCATTGTTTTCTTCCTGATTCAGTTTTGACATATGAAATGTTGTGGCTTTTTTTAGCTTCCCGAGAGACCGCCTTTGTCTATGCTATAACTTCCTCTGGAGTTGTTCACGAAATTACAAAAGCTTGTGCTCGTGGTTTACTGAGAGAATGTGTTTGTAATAATACACAACATCAAGGAAGAAATGGTCGAGGCTTCCATTGGGGTGGTTGCAATGACAACATTGAATACGGTCTGAAATACGCCAGTGAGTTTATAGATTCTCGAGAAAAGGAACAAGACGCCAGAGCAAAAATTAACCTTCACAACAACTTTGTGCGGCGACATGTGAGTACATCATCTAATACACCATTCCACGATTTTTTCAATTTTTGACTGGGAGCAAGAGAGATTGAGCTGGGACCAGTTAGCGAAAATCCGTCAACACGGCTGGAAAGAACGACTTAAAATCAGCAAAGTTGCCAAGTTTGAAAGTGATTTATTAAAACTTACGAAGATACAGCTCCACAAAGGCGCGTTATTTTACGAGACGTTTGTATGGTGGAAGTGGATGTACTCGAGGACGACGCCATCTGAGAGGCCGAGCCGCCGCGCCATAAGCGTGGTGTCCTGAGTCTCAGTCTTATGCACAGGGTGACCTCTGCCGCCCGCCGGACCATATTTGACCATGGGCCTTAGCACAGACCTCAATATTTTCCAAAACCAATACAGAAATAAAATACAAACTGAACTATTCTAGAGCTATGATGGGTTTTTTTGTTTTCAACGCATAAAAGCTCGGATTATGCCAGCAGTGCTAAACTGAAATAAAAGCTTAAAATAATTCTCGTTTTGCTGAATTATGTTTAAAATTATGCTAGCACAATCTACCAAAGCCTACTCCTGCCCAGACCTACAATCCTCTTTCAGTATCATGCCTGCTCAAAATCATCTTGCAATACCGTATTGTTATCTCCAATTCTCATCTAATATTATGCTTACCTAAAATCCTCTTGCTATACCGTGTGAACCGTATTTACCCAATGTGCAGTACCATTCTTACCATCAGTATTTTGAACGATTTTGATGGATTTTGAAAAAGGACAACAATTTACCGTAGGTAAGGTAATACAACGTTTATGATTGATCCATGCACATATTAAGCGATATATTGATACAAATGAAGCAAACGGTAAATACAGTGCACATGTTAATTATAAAATGGGCCTTTTGCATGACGATGTCATTTTACTACTACTACCAGAATCCTTCAAGGTTGGGGCTTTCGTGATTTAAACCTCCATGGGATTACCAAATTTAATTGTGAAAGGAAAAATGGAGAGGATACTGGTCGAAGTAGTAAAGTGACGCCATCGTGCAAATGTGCAAATGGCATATTACAATCAGCGCACAAAACAATTGTGTGGATTCCCCTGAGACTAAACTTGCACGCTCATGACAAATGTTGATCGCTTCCAACCGCTCTTGACAGCTCGGGTAGAAAATAGTGTGCGCCCTTCAAACATTAGCCTGCGTAGCAGGCGCCAGTTTTTTAGGGCGAATGATAAATATTAAGGACGCGCGCACTGACGAGAAGAGAAAAAGGGAGAGGTGCCTCCTCTCCCCCTCCCGTGTTCCCTCGCGCGTTTTATAAAAGCTAACCTAACCAAAGCAACTAACCGGCGCCTGCCACGCAAGCTACTTAAACATCAGGCGTATATTAAAACGTAAACCGTGTCTTTCAGCCTTAACCATTAAATAATCTGGAAAAAAATGAACACACACATGACTGGTAATCATAGAAAAATAAATCTAAATGAAGATATTATCAGCAGAATTCTAATCACAATTAGGTAATTGCAAACTAACCCAAAACTCTTTTCAGGCCTATAGAAAGTGATAATAATTAAACGTCTTTTAAGGTCTTCAATGGCAATTGAATCCCGGCGTAGCCTCTGCGTTGTCGCTGGAGGGGTCCAAACCCGCGCACCGTTGAAACTATTCTACAATGAATCATTTTTATCCGACATGGCCGTTAGACGTTATTTCCTAGTAAATTTTAATTAAGTAGAACCTAAAATGCTAGCAATTGGCCATTTCGAGACTGTTCAGGGGACACTATCGCTTCTTACATTGACTACTGCGAGGTTGCACAGAAAACTGGGTCGAAGTTGGTCCACCAAAACAATCAAACAATCCCGCAGACACAACACCGCCCCTCAGTCACGTGCAACCTCAAAATAGCCAATCATGAAAACTTTCCTGGTCTGATGGGTACGTGTAAGGGGGGTCTGAAGCCCCCACGATCCGCCACCTGTGTGAAATTCTCTAACCTAACGTTTTGTAGAGGACTTGAACACTCGTCGACTTCTTCCTCGGCTCTCATTCTGGACATGGGTGAGGTCTCAAATAACGACGAAGTTTTGAAAGAATGCAAATTCACCAAACTAGTGACCTTTTTGTTGCCGTCTTCGTTGTCATCGTCAACGACAAACAATGGTCACGAACGGACTGAAAATAGAGCTGAACTTTCATTTACAACTTCCACTTCGGTTATTACAGTATGCACGTGTACGTTATTTATGACCAATAGGTTTATTTTCTTTAATATCTGCTATCTCTTTGTTGCTTTGTCCAAGGTCTATTAAGCCTCGCTTGCATGCAACTTAACAAATCGACAATACTTTTCCATGGTTTGTACTCTTATCGACCATAGAAATGACTTCAAAATGTTCAAAACTCAAGTGAAATAACAAGCCGCAGAGTACAGACCATTGAAAAATTGTTGTCGATTTTTTTTATAATAACATTGACGGTTTTTGACATCCATTTCAGTTGAAGTTTCTCGGAAAATCGCGCGCGCAAGAAACAGAAAGACAAATTGCGCCACCATCACGTCATTTCTATGATCTGTGCTCTTATCGGGCCAATCAGCGCGGGAGAAATCGCTCAGTTATTGTAAAATTCCGTTTTTATTTTCTGGAATGGCGAATTCAGCCGCGACTTTGGCAAATGATTGCTTTTTTCGTGGTCCTGGTCAGTTGTCAAAGTAGGCTATAATTTGGGAAGAATGAAAAAAGGAAGAAAAAAAAAAGGCGAGACAAACGTCACTACGTTCTGACGTCTGAACTAGGACTAAACAACTTCTACCATTAACTCTGGCTTTTTCCTTTGTTATTAACAGCCTCTGTTAAGGTATTTTTCAATACCCTTAGGTCTCTTTTAACCCTATAATCCCTAATATAAAAATTAAAATTCTCATTTACTGTCCTACACTTTTTTGATAGAAGTAGTGGGGAGAATTTGTTAAAATATTAATTAGACTTATCTGCCCTGATCATGTACTCAATTCTCAATTCTCATGACCACTCTGCTTTCTAAAATTTGAAATTTCATGCTGATCACTCTTAGGGCTTAAAGGGTTAATGTTGCCTTAAGCAGAGGAAAATAGATACCACGAGGTTATCTGTTCAGTTTAACAGACAAAGTAAGGTCAGCAACGAATATTTATCAAACAAATTTTAGTGAATAACCGATTTTAGCTTGTTTAATATACTGAATTTTTACACTTTAATATTTATAATGATATGAATTTTTAATGTTGTTGCTTAGCATCTTAGAAAAGTTTTTCTTACAGGACGGGGCGGTCGGCGGCAGGAACGAGAAGGATTCAAGGATTTTCCACAGCAATTTATTAGAAACTCAAATTCATCAGCAATACAGCAATGGTGACGTCAACAATCACATTGCTGAGGACCATTAACAGACGAAACATTAAATTGACTGGGACTTTGCGACATGTACAACGTATTCTACAGACTAACATCAACGTCTTACTTTAGAAAGCTGGTTTACTAACTAAGAACAAACGCCACTGAATCGTAGCCAACAGTTACCGGCGCCGTACGAACGACTTATTGTCAAGATCAAGCAAAACTAACTACGAGAGAACGACTGGAGAACTGACAATTTGACTATCAATAGACGACTGTTAAACTGTGAGAATAGACAGATCGAAACGCACCAATTACTAATTACGAGTCTTCATAGCCAATAACATCACGGCTTAACTGACAGACGACCAATAACATCGCGACGTAATTGACCAATGAGATCAATAACCGGAGTATAATACCATCAACTGACGTGATACAACTAACCTTGACTCTGAAGATGACTACCGCACAGGTTGTCGAAACGTCAGTCACTGTCAACAACAACAGTCCTATTTAGGACTACTTTCACCTGGACGATAAAACTCAACCTACTTTTGAAATGACTCCTAGGTTCAAACCTTTCACAATCCCACTAATCTTAAAAAGATAAGGTCAGTTAACGGATTAAAAAAATCCACCGAAAAGAAAAACCACAAAAAGCTAATATCCACAACAGCATTTAGGCAAGGCACACGCACAATCTTTCCCAAGCGATGTACAAGCTTGCTAAATCAAACCGGAAAATTCCTAAGCGCAAAAATATTAGAAGCAAAATAATAAAAAAAGTAATGCATTTCTTGATATAACTAAAAGTAGTGAAATTGTAGGTCTAGTAACCCTGTCAAACTTAGTTTTCATATTGTATTTTTCTCCTGTCATACCGAAAATGAGCTGTTCGACGAACGCTAGAACTGTAAAACGTTCAGTAAATCCCGAGTTTAAATAAACTGCTCTGTTCTGTTCTATGTGTCTTCAAATGGGGCTTATGCATATGACGTCAGGGTTTCCATGTCGGTGTATCCAAACAATCTGAACTATCTGCATAATAACAGAGCTTATTTCCGCATCATTTTGGGTAAAAATGGCATAACCTCCATGGCTTTATGTGGTTACCCATTGACGTCCGCACACATCCTCAGCTATTCAAGAAAAATTGGAGACGAAAAAATTGTTGAAGAAAACAGTTGATTCAGATTAGACAAAACTTTCAATATCTCAACTGTTTGGTTGCATTCCGACGTTAAAAAAACAGCAGCGAGGCTTCAAAGTGAACTAGAATTTGAGCAGGCGAGCTCGGACCGCTCAAGAATGATCCTAGGCACTTGTATACCTCAAGGCAATATTCCATTTCAACGACACACTCTTTGACTGGCACGGTTCTGAAAATCAGTCTAAAAGCAGCTAATTTAAAGAAACTAAACTATAACTGACGAAGGTTTTGAAGAAAATCGCAGATCTATTGAGGGGCTTAGCTAGAAACTTTGCAGAGGTACGCAGCGTTTTTCAAATCCATCCTAACCCGCCTCTCAAATCATTTTATGCGTATCATGAGGTAACCGCTTTTTATTTCCTTTGCTTTGTCGTTGTTTTTATTATTCTTCAACTTGTTTTTTTTCAAATACGCAAATGCGTCTTTGCGTACAGGTAGTTACGCCCCCACAGTACCCTAACCTACGTCAAGCTACTCCAGTCAGCTCATCCATTCCCTGTTAATAACTGGCTCTCACTGGCTACCCAGACATAAGCGCAAGCATAAGAGTCCTCCTTTCGCCCTCAAAAGGGCCTAGACACAAACATAAGCACAGGCGGACATAAAAGCACAAGTATAAAAATTTTTAAGTTATGGTCCAGATAAGAAGGAAAGAACAAAACGCAAAGAACACTTCGAAATGCAAAAAGGTGCTATACTACATTATTTTGTGATGGGTTTAAACATCAGACTTTACGAAATCTTCGCAAAGAGCATGTATATTAATCTTTTGTTTTCTAACCAACTACTTCCTTATAACAAAATCTCTTCTGAGTCTAAGTAACACAGAAATCCTATCTGAGGAACACGTAAAATTGTAAACTTTTCTTGGCTGTTGTTTTTAACTCTTATGATTGGTCGAAATCTTTTAACACAAAAAATCACCCTTTAAAAATGGAGTTTAAATAAATTTTATTTCGTAAACTGCCTTTTTGTAGGTTTAATATGTATTCTCTGTGTGAAAATGAAAAAATTCCTTTCTAAGGAAAGCGTATTGCGCCATAACAAAATAAATTGCTTCCCTTCTTACCGTATCATTAACTGCGCATGCGTCGCTTAAAAACCACTTGGTCTTGTGTTAACCAATCAGGGCCGGGTATTTCGAAGCTCAGTGAACCCTAATCCCGGGTTAACTGTAAACGGAGCAAATAAGTTGTCATAGTAACTATCCGTGGATTTGCGCCAATTACAGGTATCATTCGAGCAACTCCGCCATGATGTTCTTAGCCGATAACGCTTTCCCCCTCTTTTTCGCTTTCTGTTGGGTTCAGAGTCCGCTGTCAGAGACCTACAACACAATACCGAGAATCATTAAACAAGTAGAGACGCTCAGCGAATTTAAAATCAAGCTAAAGCGCCTTTTTAAACAGTAACGCCTGCGGTACATGTTGCCTTTGTAACTTAATTAATTTTCTAGTTTTAGTGTCTTTGGTTTTGTGTTGTGTCAGGGCCGCCATTTAAACTAGCTCAGTCTGCTTAATTGGATGCCCCTGGATAAATATTGATGGAAAAAAAAAACAAAAAAAAACAAAACGAAACAAAAAAACACACAGAACAGAGAGACCTCACTGAAAACCGCCTCTTAGCTAATTGGGTTCCAGTCATTAAATATTGGCCATCTTAAGCAACAACCACGGCGAAGTCTACGAAAACGTCGCTAAAAAGGTGAATGCGCGCTGTTTCATACTTTATCGCGCGCTTATTCCATCTCGTTTAATTCGCCAAATGTTGACAAATGTTTGGGAGTTGAATTCTAAAGAACTGTATCAAAGTTCAAAAAAAGAAAAAGAAAGTTATTGTCTTGTGTTTCCGTCCTCGACGAAACGTGAAATTAGGCAGTTTCGCATTAGGGAGCGTAAGCAAGAACGGCGGCGACGGCAACGAAAACGTCACTTAAAAAAGTGAAGTCGCGCTGCTTCAAACTTTATCGCGCTTGTTCCATCTCATTTACTTCGTCAAATGTTCGCAAATGTTAAGAGTTGAATTCTAAAGGACTGTGTCAAAGTTCTGGAAAAGAAAAGGAAAGTTGTCGTCTTGTCTTCCTGTCCTCGAGAAAACTTGAATTTAGGCACTTTCACCTCGTAGTCGTGCAAAAAAATGTACAAAAAGCGTGATGCACGTGCAAAGTTGTTGTTTTACTAATCTAAACCTCTTGCTTTTTTTGCCGTTTTTGTTGCCGTTGCCGTCGTCGTTGCTTAAGCTTCCTGTTACTGTTAGTACTACAGTAGAAACTCGATAACTAGAACTTCCGCTGTCTGGAACTAAATTTCCTTTCCCTTGATCAAAATTTCACCGAAATTTATCCCTATGATTCGAATTCTGGTTGTTGTAACCCCACTCGGATGCCATCCCATTAGCTCTTCTCGTGGTTTAATCGGTAAAAACACTAAGGCTAATAACCATGTTACCGTTTTTGATGGAGTAAGTAAATTGCACTGTACTAGCCCTATACACACTGAAGTGCTGAAAAATCAGTAACTATCGTTTATTAGTGGCGTATTGAAATTTCAATCGATCCCGATAACTCGAATCCCCGCTAACTCGAACTGTTTTTCGTTTCCCTTCAGAGATTGAGTTACCGGCCTTCTACTGTATTTTTATTAGAGACATCAAACGAAAATATTTTTGAGAGCATAGTCTTTAGCGCTTAATGACTTCCTAATAATTAAGGTTTATAAAAGAACGATATTTATCGTCGGTTTTGAAACTTATAAACAACAAAAGGACCTGAGGCGAAATACATTTGAATGTATTGATTATACTGACAAAACGTCCCAGACGTCCTGTCAATGCAAAACATTTGAGTGTTTATGCCGGGATATCCCTCAAATAGTTAAATTAAGCAGGCCGGCAGTTTCCTTGAAAGAGTGAACTCTTCTATAGTATTTTTCTTAAAGCTACCATCTCTGAAGTGAGGTTTGTTGTTATAAACTGCATAAAAAGCGTTTTCTTGATCGGCTACCGGATATGAATTAAACTTCTTACGATGATGTTTCATAACTGTCATTTTCAAGTATGATGATTATTACTTACGTAGTATATATGGCCACAGGTGCGAGAATGTTCTTCAAAAAAAAAAAAAAAAAAACATTGTGTTGCGATCAAATAGTTTTGAGCGGAAAAACTTTAAACTGAGACGACTCTTTTTAAACTGCGCGTAAGACACCGGACCGCGAATATGGGAAACTCGACCTGGTTTTTTGCTGTTCTTCTGTTATCATTTCCAATACTTTCATGTTCTTACTGGTGGTAAGTTTAAACTTCTAACTGAATATAAGAATTTTCACGAGTTCCACCGGAAATTTGTTCTCAAAATAATGCAAGAAGTGTTAAAAGTAAGACATAAGTGGAAAGTCTTCATGACTACATATAATTTGTTTCTGTTATGCATGTATTAGGTTTATGTCTCAACTGTACGATCTTGATGCTCAAGTTATGTGCAACAGAGCTGGTTTAGTTAAAGACCAAAAACGATTTTGCGAAGAATATCCTGATATTGCGATCAGTATCGGGAAAGGTGCGAGACTTGGTGTGCAAGAGTGTCAGAAACAGTTAAAGGAAGAGTTATGGAATTGTTCAATAGTTGCTCGGGATGTCAGCATTTTCGGAAAAGTTCTGCGAAAAGGTAAAAGAATCAGTTATAGTGGGGTGTACCACGCGTATGGAAAAGCCAAATAAAAGAAAATTTGTCAGATAAACTGTTACAGCATGAAAAAATGTATGTACTTTAAAAGAGAAAATTACAAGAAGGTATATAACATGTTATAAAACAAATGATGGTTAAAAATGTCTTAGTCATTTCTAAGGACCTCTCTGAGCGTTTAGCCCGCTCCTTAAGGCCCAGGTGCTTGAAAGGCCAGTTAGCGCAACTTACCTTCCAAAAGATTGTTTTTAGTATCATACATTCTGTGCCGGTTATCATAACCTTATCTTAGAGTAAAGGCTCAAAAATATTTTATAAGCTCCAATTGTATGTTCTAGACGAAAAAAATTTGCTTATAAAATTTGGGTTAAACCCAGGATTAAACTTCACGATGGAACCGCGGGCCCTGTTCGACTGGTGAATTTTTCTTCGAATTTTAATACGTCGTAATTTTTCTTGCAAATTGTGTCTCAACTAAATCACAAGAAAAGATTGAAAAAAAACTTGTTCAGTGTTACAGCCTTTATCCGTATATTGTTGTTTTTCTTTCCGTTATTTTTGCTGATTCAGTTCTGACATTGGAATGATGTGGCTTTGTTTCAGCATCTCGAGAGACCGCCTTTATTTATGCCATAACCTCTTCCGGGGTTGTTCACAAAATAACGAAAGCTTGTGCTCGTGGTGTGCTGAGAAATTGTGCTTGCAATAATACTCAGCTAGCTGAAGGAACATATGATAGTCGAGGATTCGAGTGGGGTGGAAGTAATGACAACATTGAATATGGTTTGAAATACGCCAGTGAGTTTATAGATTCTCGAGAAAAGGAACAAGACGTAAGAGCAAAGGTTAACCTTCACAACAACTTTGTGGGACGACAGGTAAGGATACATCGTCTGAATGGTATACTGTTTTTTTTTTTCTCGCAAGAACTGGGTTAAGTTGACTTGTCTCAATGGCATCCGATGTTATCTTTAAAAACCGCTGACTTCATTTATTTAGTTGAGTAAAATGTTTCTTAATTGTTTTTGTGTCAAGAACTTTCTCGTTCCAAAGACACACATGAAATAAGGGGGTTCTGTGACGCCTCGCTTCAGCTCGGCATCACAGAACGTTTTTCATGTATACGAGGTACCCAACACTCGGACTCAAACGCAAATGAAATACGCAAATGCGTGAAGTTGTTGCATTATAACTACATTCCATACAACACCTGGCAACAGGCACATTCCTGAAAAAACCTAACAACCAGCAACTTAGAAAACTGTTTTACAACTTAGGTTGAGAGTCGTCAGTTGTTAGGGTTTTTCAAGAATGTAATATTGTTTTACATGTGAAATTCGATTGTTTCATCATTTACGTTTCAGCAGAGCTCGTGATATTCCATTGTTTTTAAATTTACCTAACAACCGAACACTCGAAGGAAAAAGCCCGCCGCTTAAAATTGCCTTTGATAATGTATACTTAATGGTCGCTGGGTAGAACTATATGGCATAATATGGCAGGCCTTCGCGTTCAAAAGTCGATATCATGATATCATTCCTGATATCGTGATATCAGACCATGAGATCATGATATCATTGCCCCCGCATCCTAGTAGCTTGCGCGTGTATAAAGGAAAGTACTTACAGTTGACATACGCAGTTAGTATACCAAAAGAAAGCTCGATCTGCTTGAACAGGGGCCGCGAGGAATCGTGGGTAATAATGACGTTTCTATTGTTTAGGATGACGTAAAACAGAAAATCCCCAAAGGGACCCCTTGGGTTGATTTTGTGACAGTCGTTGCAAAGTCATGCCGTAAAATTCCGAAAATAAGCCCCTCCAAATATAAGCCCCCCAAACTCGTGACGCAAAAAACCCTCCGTTACATCGCCCCTCCGAATATAAGCCCCCTGGGGGGCTTTTACTTAGAAATTGCCCTCAAATACAAAGTAGAACAAAGCAAAAACTCAGTTTAAATTTCCTTCCAACTATAAGCTAGCCCAATCGATTTTGAAACGCAAATTTCCCTCCGTACCTAAGCCCCTCCTAACACAAGCCCCTCAAAAAGGGCCTTTGAAAAAATATAAGCCTCGGGGCTTATTTTCGGAATTCTACGGTAGTTCGATACTCTTATGCGTTACGTGTGTGTTCACTGACATTCTGTGGAGCAGCTAATTTGAAAGTATTAAAGCAAAACTGAAATTCTCGTTTTACTCTCTCAAACAAGCATCAAAAACTCAAAGACCACGAAAGAGAAAATTTCTTGTTTGACCTAAATTATGGACACAAAGTTGATAAGTGCGGACGTACAGTAACTTATAAGTGGCGCATGACATAACTGTGTACAAGCGCTTGGAGAATTTGCCAGACACAAGTTTATCATTCACATTTCTTTGATTGGAAACGATTTAAATTTTTCAGACACAAATCTCTTTGAGGCCGTGAATGTAATTTACAGCTAATCTTAGCTAAACAGAAAGAGTACGTTTATGACTGTCCTGGCACCCCCACCTTAATATTAAACTACTGAAGAGAAACTTTGTTTAGTCAGTCTGTTTTTGCCTTAGTCGTTGCTTTTTGTTTCCTGTAGGCTGTAAAGAGCCATATGAGGCTGGTCTGCAAATGTCATGGATTTTCAGGTTCGTGTTCACATAGAACGTGCCTTAGAACCTTGGGACCGTTTGGTGCTGTAGGCGGGTATCTTCACGACAAATATTACAACGCTACCAAAGTAACAGTCCATCAGGACAAAAACCAGCTCGTTGTGGCCGATAGAAAAAATCGAGAACAGACCTTGAAAGATGATCTTTGGTTCTTGGTAGAGTCCCCAGATTATTGCGTGCCCAACAACAGCACCGGATCGCTGGGCACCACGGGAAGACGTTGCCACAAGAACGTCTCGGAACCTGGGAATTGCAGGATTTTGTGTTGTGGGCGTGGCTATAATACCCTTCAAGTCCAGCAAAAGTATGAATGTTCATGCAAGTTTCATTGGTGTTGCCGAGTAAACTGCAACACCTGCGGTGGAATAGTTGATAGACACGTTTGCCGGTGATTTGAGCGCAGCTTTACAAAAGGTTGTAATCTAAACAGGCTTGCATAGTCCTTAGGCCTTAATAGTAGTCCCTAGGCCTTAATTTAAAGGGCGACCTATCAATTTGTTTGGGTTACGCGCTTTGAGCTAACACGACGAGCTAAGGCGCCGGAAAAAAATTTAGGCTAATAACCGTAGCAGAGATGTAATATAGGTAGTATAAGAACTTAGTTTGCACCTACAGTTGAAAGTTAGAACGAGCGAGGTGTCGCTTATATTATTTGCGGTTAGGAATTTTCCGGCCCATTGAAAAGAGAAAATATTTTTTTTAACGTAATTCCAGAAACGTTATTTGCGTGATGTGGCACTTCTTTTCAAAAATAAATAAATAAATAAATAAATAAATAAATATTAAAGATGAAACAACAACAACATGATATTAATTTGAGGAGGACTCGGAAAAAAAAATCCGAGTCCCAGATGGAATTTGAACCCACGACCCTCCGTGATCTAGTCGGATGCTCTAACCACTTGAGCTACTGGAGACTCTATGGTGAGCAAGGGCCAATTTGTGGGTCTCGACTGGAACCGCATCACGCGGCTACACAGCCAAGTAATGATAGGCACACAAGAAGTGAAGAACTCACTAACAGAAAGTGCCTATCATTACTTGGCTGTGTAGCCGCGTGATGCGGTTCCAGTCGAGACCCACAAACTGGCCCTTGCTCACCATAGAGTCTCCAGTAGCTCAAGTGGTTAGAGCATCCGACTAGATCACGGAGGGTCGTGGGTTCAAATCCCATCTGGGACTCGGATTTTTTTTCCGAGTCCTCCTCAAAATAAATAAATAAATAAATAAATATATAAATAAACGGAGATTACTGTACGCTGCACTATTAAAGATAAAAAAAGTTGAGGCAACTAGTCTTCTTCGTAAGTTGAATTCACTGCAAAAGAAAAAAAGTTAAGTTAGCCACGAGCGGTCTAGACTGAGAGCAGTCTCTCTTTTTTCTTAGTCCGTCGAGCGAAACGTGCGAGAGACGAAAATGACCACACGCGAGACTGAAGGCGCTAAGCGGGAGAGGCGCGAAAAAAGCCGTCCTCGTTTCAAGCGTCTCGCGGCTTTGCCTCTCGACGCTCGCGTGCGCGTGCACTCCCCTCTATAAATACGGAGAAAAAGAGAGACTGCTCGCAGTCTACGAGAGGTCTAAATTTCTTCCTCCCCTCAATTATGAAGCCAGGATGAAATATCGAATAATATTTGGAGCCGATAACTAATCGCTCCCTGATTAAATACATAATACTTTAAAAAATGCTTAAGCTTGCTGAGTTTGCGCTTGGGGATGTGAATATTCTGCCCACAGAAAGCAACAGCTTAGATAAGAGGTGACTACTCAGGTAAACTAGTAATAATTGCAAACTAGGGGAGTGTGTTCGGTAGGGAGGGGTGGTAAGGCAACGAGGAGGGGGAGGGGGAGGGGGAGTGAGAGGAGAAGGTAAGGGTGTATAAGGAGTGATAAGTATGATGTTATATCCTGGTTGTGATATTCATTTGATTTTTTACGTCTGGTTTTGATCCAAAAACTACAATCAAAACTCTATAATACTAACTCTAAACTCCAGACGTAAAATAGAAATAGATCGCAGAGGTCAATAGTCAAAAGTTGGCCTTCTTCAATATGGTCTCAGTAACTGAAATCAGTGTTATTCTCCCATATTGTTTGCTCTCCCACTTTGGAATGCATTGCCTCTTCATTTTGCCTCATAAATACCAAAGCGTCCTTTATATTTCATATATATTTGGCTAAACCCTTGAGTAAACAATAGGATCGCATCCACGAAAGCAAAATTGTACAGTGTGCCGGATACGTTGTTAAAAACCTAGATATGTGATTATCTTAAAATGGAACTGTTCCTATAAAAAAAAAATACGGACAACGAAGCTCAGTTGTGAGGGAAAAGAGATAAACAATCCTCTCCTGTAAGCAAAAACTTGTCAATGTTTCATCTGTAGTAAACAAGCGAGGCACAAAATAGATACCAGTTCCCGGTGGAGATAAAGCATGAGATCGAGGCTACATGCGGCAGCCAGCCAGTTCCTCGGAGACCCAAGGACGGTCAGTCGGGCCGGGAGAAAAAGCGCGACGAACGTTTTCACAGCACAGGCGGAAAAGCCCCTGGGTACCAACTCTAACCGGACCATTTCCAAACGGTCAAGCGAATGCTAGGTCCTGATTGGGCACAAAAAAGTTCCTTTCTATTATTGTGCCCTATCGTCGAACAGCATCTCCTGAGTTCTTTTCGTGAGTTCGTTCACGACGGCTAATGACTCGATCACGGCTTGTCTGGCTCATGCACCAAAGAAATTCAGCAGTCAGGAAAGTTTCAGTTTGATATAAACTCTCCATTTCAAATAGACTGCAAAACAGTCCTTATTTTTGCGTATTCAAAAGGTCTGGAACGAGGATGAAAACGGAGAGTGAGACTGGGGAGAGACACTAAAAACGTCCCCAGCGGCGAAGAGCGAGGAGAAACGGGTGTTTTCGCAGGCTACATAAAAACCCGCTGAAATAACTAACTTTCAATCTTAACTTTTTGGTTGAAGTGACATAAAGGTCAACTTCAAAGGCCTATAAAAATCCTAGTATCTAAATTTACGTCTCATATTGTACATCAGGTGAAAGCTTCAACTGTCGTTTTTGGCCCCAAAAAATTAGCATAATGAAGCAGGCAGCCGTGGCACCACCCCTTTAAAATGACGTGTTACACGTCATTGATGTCGCTAAAACATTTAAGGCCTAATGTTATCAGGCTTAACAGTTAATTACATTTAGGGCAAAAAGTTATCACATTTAGAACTTCATTACATTTAGGACTTTATTACATTTAGGGTCGTTTATTACCCGGCCTTCCTTTCAGGAAGAGACGGGTATAGTTCTTGGTCGAGTTGTTCAAAGCTGGATTAAGATAACCCACGGTTAGTGCGAGATTTGAATTCAGATTTGAAAGCTTTAAAAAGCATTTCAGTTTTAATTCTTTTTGTCTACAAGTTGATGATTGAAAGCTCTAAATATAACAGAGAAAGTTATCCGAGAAAATGCTTTTGAACATAAGAAAAAGAAACCCGGGTTAAATTTAACCCCGGGTTAAGCGCTAATCGGCCTTCGAAAAACTGAGCCCTGGCCGTCGTCTAATCGCCCTCTGCTCTTTAAAGCGCATGCCTGTGCTGGTGAAACATCACGTGATCGATTTCCGGCAATTTCATTGGCTTAGAGGCAAAATCTCTTTGAACAAAGTCGAGAACAACACGCGTGAACACGGGCAGGCTTTTGTCAGTCGGTAGCGTTAACGTTTTGGTTTTGTTGCCTCTATGAGTGATCGACAATTATGTTGGTCGAAATGTTTAGTGATATAGGTGTTGTCTAGAGAATAATGTATCCCGGAACTGTCAGACAAACACAGTTGCACGATCCGTTTAATCGAGATCGGCGTTAAAAAGGTGGGTAATTTTCACTTTTTATGTTTAGTGCAAGTCACGAGAACTTATATAGCAGTTGAAGAAACACCATTGAGCTTTGTTTTGGCGAGTAAGAGTGTACCGAGGTGCAAGGAAGAGGCAGTTTTGTAAAACGTCAGTGGCACCCAACGTCAATTTTCGGAAAATATCTGTTCTGAAGACGCAGTTTGAGATCTAGAATTTTCGGAACATTTGTTGTAAAATTTCATGCTTGCCTGCCTCTCCTAAGATTTTCGAACATCTAAGAAGTGGTGGAATTGCCCAGTTTTAACGGATTTTTACCCTAAAAAGGTCACCTAGAACTTTCGGGAGCCTTTTTTTCTGGCTGAAATTTTCGAAAAGGTAAGTTCCGGGGCACCCAACGACAATTTTCGGAAAAATATCTGTTCGGAAGACGATTTGAGATCTACAATTTTCGGAACATTGGTTGTAAAATTTCTTGCTTGCCTGCCTCTCCTAGGATTTTCGAACATCTAAAAAGTGGTGAAATTGCCCATTTTTAACGGATTTTTACCCTAAAAAGGTCACCTAGAACTTTCGGCAGCCTTTTCTCTAGCTGAAATTTTCGAACAGGTAAGTTTTGATCCCTATAATTTTCGGATCACTAGACTTTCAGCTAGGAAATCCGAACAGATGAAAAATCTATAGGGGATAAAAATATGCCCATATCCACTGTTTAAAAACTAAAACACGTTTAACAATTCTATGTTTAAGGGGCTTTGAACTATATTCTCGTTGGGTGTCCCTGTAAGTTTTGATCCCTATCAGGAGCCCATAATGGGCTCCTGTCTCTATAAGTTTTGTCTCTATAAGTTTTGGATCACTGGACTTTGGATTTTCAGCTAGGAAATCCGAACGGATGAAAAATTTTTAGGGGATAAAAATATGCCTATATCTACCGTTTAAATACTAAAATACGTTTAACAATGCTATGTTTAAGTGGTTTTGAAGTATATTCTCGTTGGGTGCCCCTGAAACGTATGGACCGTTTTTGTGCTAAATAGTACGTACGACTTGACTGTTCGATCTGTACAAACACGTCCACGTCACTGTAAACACCTTATAAATGTTATGCTTTATAGCTTTTATCTCAAAGCAGTAAGACACATTAGAAAATTTAAAAGTAGAGAAATTGCTCTGATTTGTAATATACCATAGTTTGCACCTAGTTGCAGGAAAGTGGCAGTAATTTTCATTCATCAAAACAAACAAACCTGACTGTTCATCTCAGAAGTTTATGCTTGGTCCAAGTCTTGTGCTTCCCGGCTGTGTCGTGTAAAAACGGAAACTTACTATATCGAGGGAAAGAAATATTCTTTGACTTTTTTTGGCATATATGGATTAACTTGTATCGAGCTCGCAAGGAAGCGGCAGGTTTGTAAAGCACGTAGCGTTGTTTGATGCTAAAATTCGACATGATTTTGATTGATCAAACAACATCTCATTGTTAAATTAAATCAAAGGTATTAAAGCTTATCTGAGCTCTTTTAAAAGTGGGCGATTGCTTACTATCGAATTTCGATCTTGCAAAACTCCATTTTGATCGATCCAACATTATTAGAAATTTCAAAATTATCTATGCTAGAAATTTTTCTCTTTGCTGTGTTCAGCTACTGTACATTCAAACTTGCAATTAAAGAATCGACAAATCGATTATAATATTCTGTACTTAAATTGGTTTCGGGATTATCCTCAACGAGGTACACAGTATAGGTTTGGGTTTTCTGTGGTTACTTCTTTGCTTGTTGTTGAATCTATAACAAGGCAATGAAATATTCACATATCCTTCATTTATTTACTTTTTTTTTTCAGAGAAGATGAACTTGATCCCAAATCAAACAATAAGTGCAGCAACACTTTTCGAAGTTTTCCAATGATGAATTAACTAAAAGGAGATGCCGGTAGTTTGTCTTTGAAGTACCTGTATCAGAGTGACAACAATATGAATAAAGATCTTACTCCTTTGTAGTAATTTAGCATGTACAATAATCACTTCAGCAACCAAAACAAATTTAAAATCCTTACATAATTATTCCAGCCATTATGTTCTCTTCCTCTTCATACAGGGTGTTATTTCAAAGTTTTTTCCCTCAAAATATTAGTTTACTACCTAACATTGTGACTGTAGCTCATGCTAATTTAAAGAAAAAGAAAACTACTGCAACACTACATTGAAGCATTATGCAGTCATGGTCAAGTACACCCCTTTGGAACGTTCGAGTCTTTCCAGTCTGATTTGCTATCCGGTAGTATGTTCCATTTATTCATTATCAATTCTTCATCAAAGTTCATATGGGTTGTGGTGCATTACTGCATAGCGCACATTTTCCCCCGGCGCTCTACCATTTTATGAACTAAAAGAAGGCCGGGTTCACGCACTCGTGCGTCTTGTTACATTTAAGTCTACACGAGTAACCTAAGAAAAATATGTACCAGTGAATGTTTCGGAATGAATCTAGCATTTTCATAAGCTTTGCTGTCACCTGAATTAAAAGTTTAAAGTAAAGCAGGGTTAAATTTTTAGTCATATAACATCTGCGCTCTTTCTTTTCTTAAGCCTAATTTAGATCCAAGACTCCCCAAAATTTCTTGTTGTGTGATTTATTAGCCTGCGTAGCAGGTGAGGTTAGAGTCTCAATGGGGTGGTAGTATTTTCGCACAGGCAGGTACCTATTTTTGCTCAGAAAGCGTCTAAGATCTCGATCTGTCAGGAAGTTTGTTTGGAAGTTTTCAGCAGTTCTCAGGCCCCGCCACATAGCCCCCTATGACTCGCGAAGTGAAATGGCGGTCAAAATGTTTTCAGAATTTTTTGAGCCCTAAGAAAGTCTATGATTCTTTCTGAACGCGCTTTCAAAGGAAATGGCGATAAACTTGTCATAGAGTTCCTTAGCACTCTTGAATCTGCGACCTCTTGGTTTAATAGACATTCCTGAGGGTTATATACTAGGCTAGTGTGGTCGAAAGTGGGATGCGAGTGCAAGGGACATATACCAAACAAGTTTTCCTAAGCAATGTAGTTGGGCATGATATATAACTGTTTTTGTCAATCCTACGACCGGTAATGAAGCTAGCCGTATCAACAGAACGATGGATAATTACAGAAATACGCCGATAATTTCGGTGCTCCTGGTGCTGACGTATTCCCTGTTCACAGATGTCTCTCTATAAAGCTGTTTTTAATGCAAAAGATTGTCTTCAATGCTGTTAAAATAACAAAAAAAATAACAAGAAAGAGAGTACGGGTTGATCAAACCTTTTAAAATTCCTAATTTGTGAACGATATCTGCAAAATCACGCGGTCATGTGACAACCAATCAGGGGTCGGTTGCTCGAAGCCTGGTTAGCGCTAACCGTTGGTTAAGAGGTGTGAAAATGTATAGGTTTCCATGGTATTTAATGCTGGTTAGCACTAACCATGCTTCGAGCAACCCGGGCCTGATGATTAATTAACCCCCCCCTCCCGCCCCACCACACACCTTTTTTCCGGAATCGTCTTTGTGAAAAGTCTGCTTTCAATTTTTTTTTACTTGCAGGACAGGCATGTATGTATACACAGAATAGAGAGACGCTACTGAAAACCTCCCTGTTGAGTTGGGTTCCTCTCATTAATTATTACAGTGTATTATCACTATTATTTTTAAACCGAAAATATTTTTTGAAGGCGTTAGTTTTGAAATTGAAATTTGGCGAGATAACTGAGTATTTATTACTTCTACTTTCGAAAGCTGAAAAGAAAAGGGCAACCAAACTTTTGATCATAGTAGCACTTTAACTGGCGGATGAAAAACTGACAAAAAAGTTAGAAGACTTAGTGCCTGAGGCTAGAAGACATTTTTCAAGAAAAGTCTAGTCAATGCATTTCAAGACCCGACATTTGAGTGTTTACGAATATCCCTTTGTTGATAAACCAACTCTTATCAATTATACTGTGACTCTTGCTCTGATACATACTCTTTTAAAACTACCGCCTCTGAAATGGGGTTTGCTTATATAGAGCCGACGACGACCATTTTCTTGATTGGCTGTTAAAAAACCGGATGCGAATTCAGTAAACTGTATCTTATATAATGTTTCATTATTGTCAATCATGAATTGATACTTGGCATGGCTGAAAGAGCAAGAATGCTTTTCACTGAATCGGAAAAGCTCATTGTCTCGCGATCGTTCAGTTTTGATCATTCAGACGCGAGCGAGATTCTTTTTAAACTGCGTACAAGAATCACCCGCAGGACATACGTGTAAAAGAACATGCAGAACTCGACCTGCTTTTACGCTGTTTTTCTGTTATCATTTCCATTACTTTCTTGTTCTCATTGGTGGTAAGTTTAAACGTCTTAATGATTATTAGAATTTAGCTCATAAGTGAAACCGTTTGCGCAATAGTTAATTTGCACGTTTGTTTCAATAGGTTTATGTCTCAAGTGGGCGACTTTGATGCCAAGGTAATGTGTAGCGTGGCTGGCTTAAACAAGGAACAGAGACAATTTTGTGAAGGATATCCTGATATTGCGATCAGTGTTGGAAAGGGTGCAAAACTTAGTGTAGCCGAATGCCAGAAACAGCTCAAGATGGAATTATGGAATTGTTCTACAATTTCTCGTGATGTCCGCCTTTTCGGTAAAGTTCTCCTAAAAGGTAAAAGAATTTCTTAATTGCCGTAGTTCAGCACGAAAAAATTGTACGGAATTTAAAGGAGAATGTTAAAAGAAGAATATATCTCGGGCTAATAATGGTTAAAAATGTTTAAGTGCCCTGGGCCCAGTTGTTCGAAGGCCGATTAGCGCTTAACCCGGGGTTAAATTTAACCCAGGGTTCTTTTTCTTGTGTTCAAAAGCATTTTCTCGGATAATTTTCTGTGCTATTTTTAGAGCTTCCAATCATCAACTTGTAGACAAAAAGAATTAAAACTGAAATGCTTTCTAAGCTTTTATATCTGAATTCAAATATCGCACTAACCCTAGGTTATCTTAACCCAGCTTTGAACAACTCGGCCCTGTTCGACAAGGCAATTTCTCCTGGGACTTGCATTTGTGCGACAAGTTGCCAAGTCCCTGTCTATTTGAATAGCCCTTGAAATTCTTGATTTTGTCTTGCAGCATTTTTTATCTTGCTCCATGCAAGGCTATGTGTAGCGAAAACGTTGAGAAATGCTTATTTCAGTGGTTCTACACTAGTACACTACCCAGGGAAGGGCCCCCTTATCTTAGGGTCTGGATGACCGGGTACCTCCTTATCTGAAAGCCTGGATCCGCCGCCACTACGCCATTAACTAGAGCCCATAGGCTCCTGCTATTAATACATTTTTCTTACCCTTGCGAGAAAACCGTGAATCGTCTACGGCAACCTCTCTCCACAAATCGTTGTTTTTTATGTCCTCTAAGTGTTCACACAAATTTCTCGTTTCATTGTTTTCTTCCTGATTCAGTTTTGACATTGAAATGTTGTGGCTTTTTTTAGCTTCCCGAGAGACCGCCTTTGTCTATGCTATAACTTCCTCTGGAGTTGTTCACGAAATTACAAAAGCTTGTGCTCGTGGTTTACTGAGAGAATGTGTTTGCAATAATACACAACATCAAGGAAAAAATGGTCGAGGCTTCCATTGGGGTGGTTGCAATGACAACATTGAATACGGTCTGAAATACGCCAGTGAGTTTATAGATTCTCAAGAAAAGGAACAAGACGCCAGAGCAAAAATTAACCTTCACAACAACTTTGTGGGGCGACATGTGAGTAAATCATCTAATACACCATTCCACGATTTTTTCAATATTTGACTGGGAGCAAGAGAGATTGAGCTGGGACCAGTTAGCGAAAATATCATCAACACGGCTGGAAAGAACGACTTAAAATCAACAAAGTTGCCAAGTTTGAAAGTGATTTATTGAAAACTTACAAAGATACAGCTCCGCAAAGGCGCGTTATTTTACGAGACGTTTGTATGGTGGGGGGCAAGTTCGTGCCCCCACCACAAACGTCTGTAAAATTTCGCGACTTTGTGGACCAATATCTTCGCTCTCTTTGGTCTTATCTCCTTTAAACTTGGTAAGTTACCTTTATTTTAAGGTTCTCTTTCAGGCAGTGTCGATGGTTATTCGCTTACTGCTCTTTATGAAAAGTTGCAGGGAAAAAACTGTGGAAGGGTCTCAGATGCCTTTAGGCTCAGAAAGACGTGGTTTCTGAAGAATGAATCGGATGATCCGATGCATTCTTCGGAAACCACGTCTTTCTGAGACTAAAATGTTTGAGGCTATTTGTTTTTGCCCCTGAATTGCCCGGCCTCACTAGCCTTTGCTATGAATACTTCTGAGGGTAAATAAAGTTATCATTATCAAGTTTTCATCTTATGTTTCTTTAATTGTTTGTTTGCTTTTGTATGAAAAAACACCTTGTCCCAAAAAATTTCTGATAGTTTGGTTCGATTGTGGTCAGTAAGACATATTAGTAACACTGAGTACGTGGTAAACCATTTTCATGCAATTTTCACCTTTTTACTCAATCTTCTGTCTTTAGTTCTCTGCTCTTGATCACACCCTCAGGCTAACGGCTAACTGCGATAAATTCAAATTTTAAAGCTTTGTGCCCGATTCTTCTAAACGAGTTTCCTTAACATTTTATTTTCCACCTATTTTTGACTACTTTTTCGGTGTGAACGGGCCTCTCCGTCTAAAAACTGAAGAAATCACAATACGTTTGCCCATATTAAGTCCTGAATATTCTGTGGCGTATTTTGTATATTGTGCAGAGAGGTTTGAAATCTCAATCATAACGTCTTCGAAACAAACATAATAAAGGAATCATATAAAAATAGTTTAGTTCTTATCTATTTAAATTAGAATCGTTTAGTGGCGCTATTAATTCCCCTGCATGTTTTCAAGCCCTCGCCATGTTTCTTTTTTTCAGATGTATGCACGAGAAACTTCAAAACAAAATCGCCAATTCCCTTCACTGCAATCAGTTCAAAATGCCGGCCAGTTATAACACTCAATAAGACGTGATCATTTATACGCACGGTCCCAAACCACTTTCAATTAACTCAAGTGCTTTCCCAAGAAGCCTATTTGCCTCGAGTACTCACTTGTTTACAATCATAGCTATAGGTCGGATACTTTCATGTCTGTATATAATACACTATGTATATAAGTACTGTCGTCTTGACGCCTCCATTGAAAAACCTTAATCAAATCACGGTCTAGTGAAGTCCCTTCATTACAAAATTACCTCTTAATTAAAACAAACTTACTTTATATGAGAATTAAACTCTCCGAGGAAAAGATTTTCCCTATTGGGAATGCATGAGGTCTTTTTTACTAAGCGTAATCAAAGGAAGTACTTTGAATAAACTGAGGCCTTATTAGTTGGGCTACATTAAATCCCTTCATTTCGTGGGAAAGCCGCTTTTTCCCATTATCGTGGCATTTATATTCCATTGTTTTCATAACAGATTTAACGAACTATAAAATCACCATGAAATCAGCGTTTTTAATGCGTTTCAAAATTCTTGTCGCTAAAAATAGCCGTATTGGAATGTCGGATATTTGTGATGGTACCATGGGTCACTTCTCCTATGTTACGTGCGAGCTTAGTTCTGCCCTGTAAAGTTCCTGCTAAAGTTATTTTTAAAGCAAGAAATTTCCTCCCTTTTGTCAACACCCTAGGATTGTTTTAGAATACGGATGCGAGGGTCATGGCCCAGGGTAGTGCGGTTTCTTGAAAGACATCACATACAGATAATGGTTGAATGTTCGCAAAAATATGAACATGTGTTTGAATGACAGAAACGGACTTACACAATCTTAGTTTATTAGGATCTGACATCACAATTTTATTACCTTTTCTTCTTTCGCGGAACGGAAAAAAGGCAAAATTCTACTCCTACTGAATTTTTCTGCGTCCCGCCATGAGCATTTTAAGCGACAAATTTCATTGGTCAGAAATAGCCACGTGACAGCTGTCCAACCTCACAGGGTTCTACTTGTCGTCTTTAACTTTCAGACACAATTTTAGAATATTTCATCCGTCTTTCATCATCTTTGGGTTTTTGGTTGGATTTACGATTCGTTTTTCCGTTTCGTGCGTGCCGAAATGCATCCAAATGTTCAGTCCGGTTGTATGGAAATGACAGTTAACAGCACCAAACTTGTCAGTGAGTACTACGGAAACACGAACATGACGAAATATAGCTATAAAAAATATCTCGAAAGAAACATTGTTTAGTCAGTATCCTTTTGGCCGAGTTGTTTTCATAAGAGATACAGTCGAACCTCCATGTACGAGCACCTCTCGGATCGTAAGCGACGATTTTCCATAAGAGACCACTTATCCAAAACACCAAAAATTTTCCCAGTCAAAGCCTACAATGGAAACCTGTCGTAAACGACCACCTTTCGTAAAGTGGCCCCGACTTGCCGCCACCACTTTTGGAGCAACTATTTTTACAATTTTCATTCTTTTTAACCTCTTGTATGTACTATGTTCGCTGTATGTACTATCGCCTTCTCAGATCATACAAAGAACTTTTGGTGATATAAACATGGAACTGAACACTGTATCATAACTTAGAAATTGCTTACAATGAATTCTCTTCCATAAGTAAGATGTGTCGGGACCTATTCTCGGAAGAGACCCCTTGTGGTTGGACTCCCGTACGCGACCACCTCCCGTAAGCCACCCCTAAATCTTGGCATTTTGGATGGTCGCTCACAAGAGGGTTCGACTGTGTTTCTTTTTGCTTTATGTAGGCTGTGAAGATCCATATGAGACCGGTCTGCAAATGCCACGGAATTTCAGCTTCTTGCACGTATAGGACGTGTTACAGAATGGTAGGGCCGTTTGGTGTGGTAGGTGCGTATCTTCGTGGAAAATATTACAACGCTGTCAGAGTAACAATCCATCAGAGCGAAAACCAGCTCGTTGCGGTCGATGGGAAAAATACAGAAGAGTTATTAAAAGATGATCTTTGGTTCTTGGTAGAGTCACCGGACTATTGCGTGCCCAACAGCATCACGGGATCGTTGGGTACCACGGGAAGACGCTGTTACAAGACCGCCCCAGGTCCCGGGAATTGCAGGATTTTGTGCTGTGGGCGCGGCTACAATACCTTTCAAGTCCCTGAGAGCTACAATTGTACGTGCACGTTTCAATGGTGTTGCCGAGTAAACTGCAAGACTTGTGAGAGAGTAGTTAATAAACACGTTTGCCGGTGAATTCGCCACTTGAGAAACTAGAAGGAAACTGGGCAGAGTGAACTTTCGCAAAGTCTTCTGGGACTGTTACTAGGGACAAGGGAAAAAATTGACCAATAGTAGACCAGCGCGTCCCCAGTAACGATCCCAGAATCACTTGCGGGACGCATTTCGGCTCCAGTTGCCTTCTCGTTTCTAAAGTAAGGAATTGTCTGCAGCTTTGACTGAGATGTCTGGTTGTGAAACTAAGCCCTGGGAAAGCGCTAAGCAGGGACTAGTCAAGAAACAGGTCAACCTGTAAGAATCATCCTCTTTCTCCGGGCTTTACCCTTGCCGTATCTGAGAGGGCGGGAGAGGGCGTCTCTTAGCTCCCGATAGCGCTGCGCACAGTTACTGGTTCAAACTGAAACACAGACAGAAAAATAGAAATTAAAGTGGACATATCAAATTCTACAAACAGAATACTGCAATGTTGATCGTACTACGCGAAAATTAACTGTGCAAGACGTCAACACTACACCGAAAGAACTCAAAACAGAGCGGGATGGTAGCCATAGACAGCTGTTTCGCTCTTTTTGCATGGTTCTGTCCATGTTTTAGAGGTTGGTTTTGGCCAATCCTTTATTTTCTCTGCGAGACATCAACTTGACACTTGGACTCTTGCCCCCCAGAAGACACGTGGTATGACGTGATTCTGTGGGTGTTGAGAGTTCGAGGTCAGGGCTTAAATCAGAGTGCCCGGATATTTTTCCAAAAAGGACGAAACAGCTGTCTATGGCTCATCCTCGGAGACCCAGGGGCAGATAGTGGGTGCGAGGGAAAGTCTAAACGGGCGGAAAAATATGGCACGAAGAAGAAAAGTAAAGAACGGCGAGTAGAGCCCCTGGGGACAATGTCTTACCAGACCAGTTCCAAACGGTCGCCACACGTCTGGCTTCTGATTGGGCAGAAAAACACAAAAGTTTTCTGGCACCAATCAGAAGCCAGGACGGCGGCGACGGTTTGGAACTGGTCTCGTAAGACATTGTCCCCAGAGGCTCTTCTCGCCGTTCTTTACTTTTCTTCGTGCCATATTTTCCCGCCCGTTTAGACTTTCCCTCGCCCCCACTATCTGCCCCTGGGTCTCCGAGGATATCTATGGCTACAATCCCGCTCTGTTTTGAGTTCTTTCGATGTCGTGTTGACGTCTTGCAGAGTTAATTTTCACGTAGTACGATTAGCATTGCAGTATTCTGCTTGCAGAATTTAACATGTCTACTTTTCATTTTTGCTGATCAGGTCTTTATAGATCCTACGTTCTTCGGCATATTCGTTTACGGTCCTTTGCAGTCCTTTATGGTTAATGTTTGTACTAGAAATTAAAGCATAAGCGAATTCCTCACTTTTGTTTGTCTTTTGTAATTAAAATGTCATGTTTGTCTTAGTTTTGTCATTTTAATGACAAACTCAAACATTGTAAATTAGTCACGGTGACGTCATTCGTGCGCTGTGCTATTTGTAAGGGAAAATTAAAGCCACCGTGACCAGGTTGTATCAGATAACTTTTCCCGCCTTAAATAGATTCGCTGTCCTGCATATTGTTGTATATATAAATCATTAAATAGGATTTCTAAATAGGATTTTGAGGAATAATCAGTTATTGATTTTAGAATTTATAGAACTACGACTTGCACAAGAAGTGTATTTTAAGTTTTTATTATTAAATAGGACTTGTAAATAGGATTGTTAGAATAATTAGGTAGATGTCATTTTATTAGCTTGTCACTGTTTTAAGATCTATAAAACTAGAATTTGTACAAAAATGTGTGTGATGCGAAGATGGAAATTTCTTGATTGATATTTGCGCAACATTAGTTAATAAATATTATTAATATTTTTCCCATTATTATTACCTTGTTACATGAAAATTTGGCGACACTCAAATTTAGCGAAACTTTGGCGAATTAAGATATTCAAAATTTTTACGACGACAATAGAACAGTTTGTGATGAAATCATAAACGTCAACAACTTCATTTAAATCAAATCATACGTACTGAAACTTTAAGAAAAATCGCCAAATTCGCTAAATTAAAGTGTCGCCAAAATTTCATGTAATAGACCTATTCGGCTAACTAAATGTTGTACCCAATTCCAACCCTTTGGGGATAAAACGTTTTGTTTCAGGAATTTCCATATCATTTAAATGTGAATGCAACATTATAATGCAAATACAGTACACAAAGAATCTTGACCCCGGGAGATTTGAATTGGGTACAACATTGAGTTAGGGCCTGTTTACATGGAGTGGGAGACCCCGGTGTAGTGGGGTTGGTTTCTTTTGTTTTCACGCTCTGGGGGACACAAAACAAAAGAAACTTACCCCACTAGACCGGGGTCCCCCACTCCATGTAAACAGGGTCTTAGCCGAATAGGTCTATAAGGTATTAACCAAAGTGATGATTAAAGTAAGTATGAAGGAAGTAGAATAATGCGCATGTCATTAAGGCGGATGGCCACGTTTTTACGAGCTCCGCCATATTTGTTCTTCCATAAGGTTACCTCGTCGATGGTTAGTTTTTCTCATTACGACTCCTTAATTTTTTTTATTGAATAAAATTGTAAACGAATTAATAGGTGGAATAAAAGATTGTTGTTGTTGAAAAACTGATGTCAACTAGCCAAGTGATATAAGAGATTAAAGACCATTCGATCGCGTATCTCGAAACTTCGATCTAATTATACTAATTTTTATCGATTGCGACTCACTTTATAAACTCTTACGATTTTCGCCCAATTAGTTTTCAATGACGGTACCTATCCATGCAAAGGTCTCTTGGGTAGTTTACGTAAAACGAAAAAAAGCATAATAATAATACTACTAATAATAATTTTAATAATATTAATAACAATAATAATAATAATAATGGTAATAATAATAATAATAAAACGAAAAAAAAAAGTAGGTCTTAAGGTGATGTTACACGGGACGATTGCAACGACGATTTTCAGCGCAGAACAGCGCTACAGCATTGTTGCGACATTGTTTCGAATGGTTGCAACATTGTTCCAACATTGCAACGCTGTGTTGCACTGAAAATCGTCGTTGCGAATCGTCTCGTGTAACATCACCTTAAGACATAAAATTTCTAGATGGGAACTTTTTTTTGAGGCCGTAAACAAGCGACGACAAATTAAATTGTTCTATCTCTCTAAACTCTGACTGAATTAATTTAAAGTAGTGGCCATTTCGCTGCCGTTGCATCGTAACTGCATCGATAACTGCACGACACGCATTCGCACAGAAATGAAATTAGTAATTCTTCACGAGACCAATTGCAAACTATAGCTCTTTACACTGAAATCTCAATTTGGTTTCGAAGTTAAAATGATGCCTACAGAAAATATACAGGAATTTAGATCAGTTGGTGCTTGAAACGTTTCTTTTTGCGCACAGTTTGCATGCGGGCTTACAATGTGGCCAAAGTGGCCGGACCAAGGAGCCGCTGGTCGAACCAGGGGCCTTCAAACGTGGCGGTTATTTTGTATGATGCAGGATTTTCCGCAAAGCTCAGAAGCTGTCGGTTTGTCACAAGTTAGTAAAATGTTACGGCAACTAACAGGACAAATTTCAGCTCACTACTCCTCTTCTAAGATAAAAAAAAACTTATTTACGTCTTTTTCGTCCGGACCAAGGACCACATACTGTAGTGTGAACATAGCCTTATTTGCACAAAGCGCTAATATTTTATTAATAACCCTCATATTAACATACCGGTACAGTGGAGAAGCATTCTTTCACCTTTGTCCAGCAAATTATATATTTCCTTTACAGTAAGTACTATAATTTGACAACCATAACATTTTCTTTAATTAGAATTATCACAGAGAAACACAATGATCTCCAATAGTATTAAGAAGAAAAATAAAATATACGATGCATTTTGTAGGAGCCACTAAACGTTACATATTAAAATGTTTTAGATTTTTACTCCTAGAATTTTCGCCAAAGACAAAAACAAAAGAAAAAAAGTTAGCTTCTTATGAAGCTACTAAAGGCGTTTAAACAAAGACGTTTTTAGGTGACGCATAGCCTGCGTAGCAGGCGCCTGGAAGTAGTGGGCACAAGAAAAAACGGGCGCGCGAGAAGGAGACACGCGAGGGGAGAGGAAGCTCCATCACCCCTCGCGTGTCTCCCTCGCGCGCGCCCGTTCTCTCTTTCGCCCACTTCTTCCAAGCGCCTGCCACGCAGGCTAGGTGACGCACGTCAACCGGCAGTGGACTGGCCAAATTTTTGGGCAAATCGTCTCTATCAGAGTAAACACTCTTAGAAAAAGAAATTTGGTAGCACCAAGGTATATTAAAAGCGAAAAGGCCTTACTAAGAAGGGAGGCCTTAGGAACAAGAGTACTGAGGACAGGGCGGGCTGCAAACATAGATGTTGCAAAGCTCTTTTTCCCAACGTAACAGTATCATTACAGGAGAAACAAGACCCTTCACATCTGCTCTTCAAAGTCCCAGAAGGTTCATATGCACTAGCCATAAGAAGACCATGCCTTAACTAATCCCGTCGCCGTTACACACTTGACAATTGGGCTCTCAGCGAAGTAAGACGTCGTAAAACGTTGTCACGCATGGACACCGTGTCATCTGTTAAGATCTTCTTTTCGTTGTCATGAATTGCTCCAGACCCTGTGAAACACAAAGGCACCCAATGCGACAGTAGCCACCCCTGCTACTAATGTGACGCCAACCCGTGATGAAGAATGGGATGACTGTGGTTTCTGATAGTCAATCAGATCTGGAGCTGTATTTGATACTTTGGAGCTGATCTGCCAAAAAAAAAAACAAATCCAGATCAAGTGTTGATTTATGATCATATAACCACGTTAAATACTGAGAGCAAGCAGACTGCGAGAATAAGTGCTTTTAAAATAACCTGCATGAAGCTTTGCGTCTAGCATGGGGTATTCAATGACAGTAAAATCGTCTTTTATCAATCCGGTTACACAAACATGACAAATATCTCTACTCGTGAAGAAAAAAATGGAAAAGTGAAAAAATCTCGCTTCTCTTACACAGAAAGCCAGTTAAGAATTCATGATAAGATAAAAACAAGCCGGGTTTTCGTTTATTTTTCAGACCGGCCCTTAGTCACCCCAATATCTCTTTCAATTTGTTAGACAGTGACCAAGTCATTTTCTTATGTTTCAAGTTTAGCTAAAACGCTGTAATTGCTCCACAAACTGACAAAATCGACCAAGGACAAACCTGTGAAATTTGTGTTTTAACAGAGCTGAGCTCCTCACTTAAGCTCTGAACAGCTTCGGTTGCTTCCCTGGAGTATATAACCATTCCTTCTGCTAATGTTACATCCTGAAAATAGAAAACACTGACATTGCAACGCTCTCTCTTGAGGATCTAATGCTAAGAACCACTTAGTATAGCCTCAAGAAAGCTCTGCCGCAAAACATTATTCGAAATGGTATCATCAAATTTATCGTAACAGACAAAAAACTGTCTTAACGTTCTTCAAAGAACTCCACTCGAAGTCTGGTGCTTCAGTGAAAATTTACTGTTTTTGTTTTTGAGAGGCGAGAAACGGTGGCACATGATTGGAGGCAGAACTTGTGCGACAAGCAGGCTAGCGCTTTACAGACTTCTCCTTCTGCATGTGCGTACTTAAGCTGAGCTTACTACGCCTGCTACCAGGTGAGGAACTTGGTCTCTCAGGTTTGGTCTCGTTCCTCACCGACAAGGGAGGAGGAGGAGGGAAGGAGCGCAGGCTCCTTTCCTGAGCAGCGGCTTATTCCGTATCGAGCTTACATTATCATTGGCCATTAGGTCTTATTGCAATAACCAATTAATTATAGGGGCTGTGTCGCCGCTATCTAAGTCATTTGATAATAATAATAATAATCTTTATTGAGATGACTTTTTCATATAAAATATGGTTTTCAAAAAGGATCTCATAAAATTTAAAAAAATAATAATAATAATAAAAATAAAAAAAATAAAAAATACACACAATTCACAAAGACATTAAAAATCTAAAATATGTAAAAACTATTAAAATGTACAAGATATTAAAAATGTCAATTATGAGTCCTTGCTCGTTATGGAACTTGAGAAATTACGTGCGAATTAGAAAATGACAGCTCAGTGTGAGCATTACATCAAACGTTACAAACAAGAAAAATGAACCGCTTTGAAAAACTGTTAGGCTAAAAGGTCTGCAAAACCACAATCAGTGCAACCCGTTTCAATCTTCTTCAAGTTTGATCCATCCGTGTCTCCTTATGTATTTACAGTGTTATTGATACCTTCTTTCCATGTTTTGAGCGGTTATTTTTATGTTTTACTCAGTTTGGTGACAGTTCTCACGGTTTTAATTTTGATAAATTTCGAGACACAGATCCTTGAAAGATCTAATAGTCCAGAAATGAGAGGAGAAGTGTGACGTCACGTTACCATGGTAGCAAAATTTCTGGATCACAACAACAGAGAGTAGGTAGCTTTAGCAACGACGACGGCGACGGCAACCAGGACGTCAAAAAAGCAATATTATTACGCAAAGCAACAACTTTGCACGTGCATCACGCTTTTTTGTACATTTCTTTACCGTCCTTGCACGACTACGACGTGAAAATGCCTAATTGCAAGTTTTATGGAGGACGTAAACAAGCGACGACGAATCTCTTTTTCTCTCTCTCAACTTGAGAGCGGTCCTCAAGAAATCAACTCCAGGGAAATTCGCCTACACTTGCCATTTTCAGCAAATTGGAATAAACGCGACAAAGATTGAAAAAACGGAAATTCATTTTAAAACTGACGTTTTCGCTGCCGTTGCCGTCGTCGATGCTAAAGCTCCCTAGTTTTTGCAACGGCTTCAGCGAACAGCAAAAAAACAATAGGTTTAGATTGACAAAAAAAAAACTTTGCACGTGCATCACGCTTTTTTGTACATTTCTTAGCCGTTTTTGCACGACTGCGACATGAAACTTCCTAATTTCACACGCCCGTTTTATGGAGTGGGTGAGCACAACACAAAAAAATTTCTTTTTCTAAACTTAGATACAGTCCTTTCGGATTTAACCCAGAAAATTTCGCCACCATTTGACAAATTAAATGACATTAAATAAGATCGATGGAGTTTGAAACAGTGCGAATCCACTTTTTAAGCCGGTGAAGGCGTTTTGGTTTGTTGTCATCCAGAAATTTTGCTACCATGGCAACGTGACGTAACGACTTCTCTTCTCTATATAATGATCAGCCTCAAAATACCTATTTCTTTGAATATCCTCATATGTCGAACAGGTCTTCAGTAAAATATTTACCTGTACAAATTCCAGAGGCTCACGGACAGAGTTTAAGTGTTTCTGTACATAGGATACACTGCTTCTTACGTACGTTAAGTACTTTGACACATTAGCAAGAATGACGGTAACTTCAGCGGCACTGTACGAAAAAGAAATGTATACACAGGGTCATTGGGAGGTGATTACCGTAAATCCTCTATTAACCTCCACCCCCAGGGGGCTTATTAAGTACTTCGAGCGCATTTGAGAGGGTGGGGGAGGCTTAATGGAGAGGGGGGTTTACTTATTTTAGCAAAACGGGGCGCTATACTGCTTTGTCAAAAAACAAAACATAGTATCAATTATCCATAAAGAACTAAAACGCAAAGTGGAAAAGCTAAGGCAATTGAAGTTAGAGGTCATGCCCAAGATAAACTGAACTTTCAGCACGTGAATTGAAGTGTTAATAATTATAATTACTCCAGCTTAGCCTGAAAGGAGACACTTTTTCTGGGGTTTCGTACCCGAGATTGAAATACTAACCGTACCTTAATGAATGCTTCTCCAAGGCCTGTAAGCTGGTTACATCCCATTCTTTCTTGTGAATTTCTCTTATGGAATCCAGGATTTTAGTTCGCACACCTATCTGGGTTATTCCCATCTGATTGAATAAAGAAGATAACTGTCACGTTAACAATAAATGTCCATAACCTTTTGATTGAACAGATACCTAGACAACAAGAGTTGCATGAGGCAGTTTTCTACACCTGGTCGTTCTATCTTCAC